AGTCAACACCTTCACCTTGCCCTTACCCTTGAGATCATTGGCGAGACCATATTCACAGAGAAAAGAAATCATATTTTGTGGAAAAGGTCGATCATCAATTTTCATCTTACCATCAAACCTCAAATGTCCCTCTTGGATAGCTTTCGGATTCGTATTCTAAACACTCGGCAATCATTAATAGAATGAGAATTAGTGTTATGGAAACCACAATACTTTTGTCTTTCACTCCTTCAGGAGACGTAGCATAGGATGTCCTTCTAGCGACTTGATGCGTCCTTCCTTTATCAACAATGCAAAAGTCCGCATCGCCTTTAGTAACATCAAAATCATAGGTTCCTTTTGTTGTTTCAACCAAATTGACTAACTTGAGTGGGTTCCTTTGCCCAATTTAACTCAAATTACAGCCTATCTCATCTTCATCAATATACTCGACCGCTTCATCCGTAAAGCCTTGATACACCTCATTAGTGGCATTGTTCTTCCGAAAGCGATTATCTCTCTGAAATCCTTGGGCTTGATTACTCATAGTCGCTAAACGTCAGTGCAAGTTGGCCAAGATCATCAAACTCTAAACCGAACAACTTCTCCCCGATATTCGACAACATTCCTGCTATATAGCTATTCCGTAGTTGATCATCCGGTAAATTTAGAGAATAACACATATTCTTGGTCTCCCTAAATCTACGAAGATACTCCAATGGTGTCTCATTTGTTCTCATCCTCGGACTCATGAGATCAACCAACTTCTTCTCATTGGTACCCGTGATAGAAATATGAATGAAACTTCGCTCTAGTTACGCCTAATGCACTCAATGGAATGAGTCGTAGAGAGCGTGAACCATGTGAAAGCTGGTCTTGTAAGAGACAAAGGAAAATATCGAATCCTCCAAGCTTCATCCGGCGACTTCTCCAAGTCGCATTAAGTACCGAATCGACGTGCTCTATGGTACTAGTATCATCTTGACCGAGAAAACTTGGTCAAATTTGTTGGAGGCTTCACCCTTGGAGGCAATGCCACTCTGTTGTACCATTCTCGGATAAGGAGACTTGTATGAATAGGATTGATTCTTTGGCTTCAAACCGAACTGATTTTGCATCATATCGCCCATCCTGCATCAAAACATCAATGCACGGATCCCGATTTCCTTGTACTTGCACTCCGTAAGGCAATCTGAAACACTTCTATACCTCGGATTCGGCACGGCATTGATAGCAATCAGAATCAAGAAATTCTTGATATCCATCTCCATACATATTCTTCTCGCAATCTGCTTGATGTCGGAGAAACTCTATAAGTCAAGGTGGCACTTCTCTGTGGTACCAAATGTCACCGCCATAGGTGGGATGTGATTGCTTTTCGGTGTGAGTCAATCCACCTATATTTGAAGGCTGACGCTACTTCTTTTCTAACAGCTTCTCTTGATGCTTTGGAACATTAAAAGCGTCCGCCGCCCAATCGAGTGGTCCAACATTTTCTTCAAGTATTTATCAACCATTAGGCCAAAAGTACTGATCATGATTGCCCGAAAGGTATTCGGAAAAAGTCGTGTGATGGTTTGTCATGGTCTCTCCCATGGCTTTATAAACCAGTATTGCCATCTTCTGAGCATCCTCCTCTTGATGTAATCAGTTTGATGCGGAAGAAGAACCCTTGGCATTGACCTTTTGAAAATACTTTATTGCTCTTGTTTTTGAAAAAGACATCAAGCATTTCCGTTGGTATTGCTCACATGCTTGTAGCACTAAATCCTTGTAATTATCCGCAATTCGCCATGCTTACATCCGAACATGATCATTGTTGATCTCGGATGCCATCTTGAACTAGCAGATTGTCCCACCGGCGTGCAAAAAGTGTGTTGACACAAAATGTGACGCCTTGCGCCTCACACACAAGTCGAAAAGCGTAGCTTCAATCGGGTTCCCGGTGCTTCGTTATCCGAAGCGTGCGGTCGGTTTGACTTTGACCTAAAAACTAACAAGGGACAAAACAATTAAATGTCAAACCGAAACATGTCGGGTAATACCGCATAGCTTCCACATATACTGCCCTCGAAGCCACTTACAACGACATACAACTATAGAGAGTCATTCGCCAATGAGTTCATAAACCGTTCAAATAATAGTAAGATGAATGCACGTGGAGACCTCGATTGCCGAATATACGTGCATGGGAAGACATGTTTGAACAAGTGAAATTAATTATGAGTTAATGCATAACCAAGCTCGGCGATTCGGTTAAATTGGGGTCCATGAAGAAGGAACGTGCAAATAAAAAAGATTAAACTAATCTAAAACCTGCATCCGCCGCACGACACCGGTTTTATTAAAGCTTAAACATGATTAACATGCATGAACCCATGACATGTGACAATCTAGATTAAAATAATTCAGCCATTATATGCACACTATCCGGTTGCAAAGGTATTATGAAAAGCAATGATCATTGAAGCACCTAATAAACCACAAGAGAGAAAAAAGGCCGAACAATATCAATCTAGATTGGGCGTAAGTATGTTACAAATATATATAAAATGTTCCGTAACATGCAACACTGGATATCTTAATGAATCTATTTAGATTTGCCATATCTAAAAGAGCCGATAACTATCTTGCTTTCACTAAGCATATTGAGCAAACGCCACACCATACGGTATCTACTCATAAACAAAGCATAAGCAAAGACTTCTTGATTGTCAAACAAAGATCCACCGCACGACCATTGAAAACAAACAAGACTACTTGCATCACGCCTAAATCCACCGCATGATACTAAACATGATAACAAGGTTGTCGGAACTTACGGAGGTCGACGGATCGATGACTCCTCTCGAAGAACTCGGCGACACGACAAAAAAGGACTCGAAAGTTGGCACGGGGCGGTTGTATTGATTTTGTTGTGAACCCCTATTACAATGGTCGAGGGTCAATATTTATACCCTAGACAAAACACGAGTCCTAGAGGACTATGATTTACAAAGGAACCTTTAAATAAACTTGGAAACTCACGATTCCTTACCCTAAACTTTTAGAGTCCTTTACTATTACAACTTTCACCTTTTCGATCGGCCTTGCCTGCCATCTTCTGTTTTTTCCCGAATGGAATCACCGCCTTCTGGAGTAACCGACCGCAATGCATTTAGCCGACCGCTTGCTTTGTTTGCCGAATACCCTTCTTCCCGCATGTGGGTCTACCTGTCATCTTCCAGAATCGACCAAAATCCAGTGTTAACACATACCTATAACATTCTTAGCATTTTAGATTGACAGACTAACATGATTGCTACACAAAATAAAAAAATCCTAAAAAGCTTGATCATTTACACACATCCTTGCAAAAAAAACTCGATTTTCTCTTATTTTAGATCTGATTGTTTACCCGGTGCAACGCACGGATATTACCCTAGTATCTTAAAAAGGATGCTAACCGCTAAGTCAAACGTTATTCCATTTGAACAATGTATATAAAAACATATTAATATTTTACTAAATCAAATAACTAACATTAGATTTGTTATGGAATATATTTCTTATAATATCGCTATCTGCCTTCATAAATGTTAAAGGTATATTTAAATACTTTTTATAGTACAATTTGACACAACCAAATATAGAAGTGAACTAATTATTGTGAGTTGAGTCGTAGCTTACCTAACATTAGAGTTAGTGCGAGTTTTGTATTTTTCTGAATTTATTTCAAAAACTAATGGTGCTATCCTTTTAGTGAAAGGCAACATGCCATCAACAACATTACAACAATGTTTGTGTGACCTTGTCAACATCGAGACCCGTGAGCCTAATATTTTCAAATGTGCTCATAAAAATAGGGTGTAGTCAATCTCGAGATTTGTCAAACCTATCTTTCGGATGTGCTAATAAGTGTAGGGTATATGTGTATGTATATATGCAAGCTGTTGTGTGTTCATATTGTGTTTAAAAAGAACCAATATGTGTTTTACTGTGTTTGAAAGAAGAAATAAACTATTTTTTGAAACGGAGGAAGGCTTTTTCTTTTTGAGAAGGTGAGACGGAGGTTTTTTTTTTTGAGAAGCTGAGACGGAGGAAGTACACGGTCGGAGTTTGGACTACAAGCTGAAATTCACACCACCTGACCTCGAACTCGAAGCGAACGTAACCCAAACGGGCCCGTACGTGTGCTTTTAATCAGGTGAGGTGGGCTGCACCGATAATCGAGGGAAGCACACGAACGTGGGCCGTGCACCTGACCTCGCTGCGCTGCATACATACATCCGCCTGATTGCCTAATGGCCTAATGGGCCTCCCCTTCGTTTCCTTTCCCCGCGAAAAGTTATCTCGAACTTTTTTTTTTCTTTTTCCTAAAACATTTCTTCTCTTTGGGATAAAACATTTTTTCTGCTATAACACGATGTCGTTTCCCAATGGGAAAAACTGTGAAATTCTTGTATATTTCATGTGAAATTAATGCGTTCCCGAGGGATCTTATAGTTTTTTTATAAATATATAAACAACAGATAGCCAATGTTCCTTTTTTTTTCCAAAACAAAAGATGTACATTGTTCGTGTACCTCTCCGCCCTTCAGCAGCTGTTGATGGGGAACACGCCGGTGACAGTTAACCGTTGCTTTACGTCAAAAAAAAAAAACGGTTAACCGTTGCAAACTGATTTGCTACCGGGGGGGAGGTGTGCTGGATTGTGCATGAACTCTTTTTTTACACAAAGGCATAAACTCTTTAATTGCACGCTTCTATGTATAGAGATAAAAGAGAGGAAGAATGAATTAATGAATATGTATTATAGTAGTTTGCGATCAGTTGCAGCATAAACTGCGCAAAACACAAAGGCAAATCCAAGAGAAACATTCTCACAGACAAGACCAGAAAACATGTTCGTATAGTATTGTTACAAGAGCTAACCCAAGTTACCCAACTAGTGCCTTGACTCTTAACACAAGTGCTTTTCAAAAAAAAAAAACTTATACTCCAATTAAGAACATGTACATCAGTGCGCGGCCAGGCTTCAGTCATCCCAGTATCTTGAGCCGCTTGACGGACCTTGCAAAATCACTGCAAGAAAAACATCGCAGGGCGACGTCAGCAACAATCCGGAAGGATAAGATGAACTCCACATGTATGCATTGGTCGTAGCGAAACTTACTCCCATGGCACATCTCCGACCAGCATCCAGTCCCCTTCTCCATCCTCGTAGGTGACCACCACGCCCACATGGCTGGTGGTGGTGGTGGTGGAGCTGCTGATTTCCTTGTCGTCTGCAACACCATGGCAATAATTTGAGGATCAGATCATCAGAATCGGTAGGTTGTTGGATTGGATGATTGTAGCTCCCCTGAATTTTGATTGACCAACAACGAACACTGGTACCTACCTTGGTCGCCGGTGGTAGTCGGGAACATGCGGGCGAGCGTGGCAAGGAGCTCGTCGTAGGAGGCGTGGAGCGACAGGTCCACCTTCCTGCCGATGGCGTCGCCTTCCTTCTTCACCTTCACGTACTTGGCGCCGCCGACACCGACACCGCCGCACGCTCTGCTGCGCGCGGAGCTCACCGGTGGCCACCCGACCAGCGGCCTCTTCCTCCCGCCGCACGACGAGCCGTCATCGAAGAGCGGCAGCGTCGTCGTCGCCGCTGCCTCCTGGAACGCTTCCGCGAACCCTCTCTTCCCGGCGCGCGCAGCACAAGGGTGGTGGTGGTCCGACGAGGTGCTGCTCAGCTCGTCGGCCGCGGCGAGGTGGTGGCCATGGTCGATCGTCATGGGAATGGGGTGGCGCGCGCTCGGCGGCGCCAGCCCGAGCTCCAGCTCCATGCCGTAACGCTGCTGGCTGCTGCTGATGTCTTTCTTACTGGCAAAGATGCGAGCTTTCGATGCTCTCTCTGTTTGCTGAACCGCGACTGGAGAGGAGAGGCTTGGAATTCCGGTGAGATGGCTGGCAGTCGTGGTGGGCAGGGAGGACTGGAGGAGAAGCAGATGCTCCTCGCATATATTGGGCGGGTGGAGAGACGTGCGGTGCTTGACAGCGGGAGGCGACGAGGAGGAAAGTGGAAAGGAATCGATGGAGTGCAGTGCAGGACTGCAGGGGAGCAGCTTGTCGGGGTTCAGGGGACCCAAAGGCGGCCAATCTGTCTGCCTGCCTCCCTGTCCGTCAGTGCCTGCCCTAGCGAGCGATCGACGTGGCGACGTGGCTGTGGCTGTCCAGACTCCAAAGTCCCGTGCTTTGCTTTGATCTCTTTGTTGCCTACCGACAGGACCCTCCAGTTCCGTGCGCGCTTTACTGGTAATCCACTGCCCCCGGCCCCCGGTGGCTTTTTGCTGTGTGCCGGAGTGCAACAGTCTAGTGACAGCCTGAGGGTGATGGGTTGGGCGGTGTCAACTGCTGCTGTCACACACGCGACTCGTGTCCGCCGTCGAATTCAGGTCGGTGCATGCATGCATCGTTCAGTTACGTGCCGCAGGAGATCTGCCCGTCGGCGAGACGGCGAGATGACATGCGGAGCAGTAGCGGAACTCGAACGCTGCAGCGATCGTCCTCTTTGCCGGCCGGCCGTTAGAATAGCGGTCGTCGAGATGGGCCGCCTCGTACGTGCACGGCGACGGCGATCGGGCAGGGCACGAGCGCACTGGCACTGGCAGTGCGTGGCGGCAGGTCACGAGCGAGCTTGCAGACGAACGAACGTGGGAGCCGGCCGCGGTCGGCGACTCGGAAGGGGTGCGGGGAGTGCAGCACAGCACAGCACATGCGTGCCGCCCGCTGGTGGGTGCCTGCGTGCCCAGCGTTGCCTGCGAGCCCGTGGCGCGTGCGCGGCCGCGCGCGAGGGCTCAATTGGCTCTGTTCGCTTGAACTATTATTGCTACGAGTTCATCAGGTCAAAGCCTGGGTCCGTGGCTGCGGGCTGGCTGTCCGTGGAACCGCGGCCACGACCCACGGTGCTGGTGGCCTGGTGCCCTCCCGCTCCCGCGTCCGCCCGTTTCCGACGCGCTTGTTGCCTGCCTCTCGTCTCCTGCGTGCATGCGTGCAACACGCTACGAATGCGCAATGGCTGGGAGTGGCAGGGGACACGCACAGTGTCCTGCTCGGTCCGCCGCGACCACGAGACCGTCGCCCTGCAGGTCCGCGGCTCCGAGCGCGGACTCTGGGAGCTCCGATCCGGGGCAGACGCCGGCCGAGACAGACACGTGCCGACCGCCCCGAGACCCAGAGACTCGAGAGCAACGGGGAGTTGTTTACGCCCGACGCTAGCTCCCAGTCCTTCCCAGCACGAGAGATTCGGCGTCGGTTCAGTACACGTGGAAGGCTTTCTCTCCACCTGGGCATCCGGAGTCGCGCGGATCGAACCGCGACGCGCGGGCCGTCCCCGGCGAGCACGCACCCGGCCACGGCTCCGAAGGAGGTGACGCGCGGGCCGCGACGCGCGAGCCGAAGGAGGTGGCGTCCCAAGATCCAGGTAAGAGAGAGCATGCCAATGATGTTGCCGTTGCTCAAAAACAGATTAGTCGTGGTGGTGATGTTGAAGTGAGGCAGCACAAAGCTGCTGCAATGCACGGCAATTCTAGTGCTTCATTGAAAAAAGGTAAAAAAGAGTGACCTATTAATAGATTAAAATAATTAAACTGATAAAATTCGTGTCCATAAAATAAAATCTATAGTATTAAGTTTCTGAACTATGAGATTTCATCCTAGGACTACAATTGGTGACCTGGTTTTGCTACACTAGAGACATAGCGGATATGCTGAATTCAATCATAATAGGTTGTACTCAAAAGTCAAAACACTAATTGTTTCCAAAATTGTGGATGCATTCTATATTGGTCACTTCTCTGTTGACAACTAATTCACTCTCGCATATGTTTTCCAATTCATGGGCTGATATTTTACTTTTTTCTAAATTCCCTTGGAGATGTTTTATTTTTCGTAAAAGTATGTGCTGATATTTGGAAATTTTAGCGGCACCATTCTTTATAAAAGGCCTTTATAGATCTTGCTTTAGGAGTTTACGTGCACAAAGTTCTGATTTAGACTTCAATCACTTATTCTTTCATGGTTAAGTAGTTATTTAGTTACATAGTGGTTTAATTTTCCAGGAAAATACTGCTGATAGATCATCTAAGCAATTTTCAGGCGCTACCTCGGAAGGGTCTGATTCAAAAGCAGTTACCCGTAGTATCAATCGACATACAAGTTCGCCAGATGCAACGATACATATCATAAAAGATCAGTTAAGACTAGCAAGAACATATATTGGGCTCCTACCTACTAGAGGTCGTAATGCCTTTGTTAGAGATCTTCGAAGAAAGATGAGGGATATCCAGCAAGCACTCGGTAATGCAACCAGTGATAGATGGTTACCAAAGAAGTACGTTCTCTCTTTTTTTTACTGCAGGGTTCACCCTTGGTATGGCGATGACGACGTGTACTTAGTTTGGGTTCTGATAGGAACAGAGTGTCTCTTACACATTTTCTTCAACTTTATTGCTTATGCAGTGTCTCTGGAAAAATTAGAGCACTGGAGTTGGCATTAGCAAAGATCAAACTAGCGCATGAGAATTGTGCATCTGTTATTGATAAGCTATTAACAACCCTTCATTCAACTGAGGACAAAGTTCAAGGATAGCAGCTAAGGCTCTACCCAAAAAACTCTATTGTCTTGCACTGCGTCTTACAAATGAGTACTATTCATCTAGTTCCCACAAAAAGCATTTTCCAAATGAAGAGAAGTTTGAAGACTCAAAACTGCAACACTATGCATTATTCTCAGATAATGTACTAGCAGCTGCTGTGGTTGTGAACTCGACTCTTGTAAATGCTAAGGTACAATATTTGACATGTGAGGTAGTAGTGGCTTATGTTCTGAAATTGAGTAGCTAATGCATATGAACTTCTGTTGCGGTAAATATTCTAAGAAGATTGTAGGGTTACTTCACTTGTACTAGCTAGCTACTAACATTTTAATTAAAATTCCAATGCAGAACCCAGCAAGGCATGTATTCCATATTGTAACAGACAAACATAATTATGCTGCAATGAGAATGTGGTTCTTGCCAAATCCCACGGGAATTTTTTTTGTTCAAGTCCAGAGCATTGAAGAGTTTACTTGGTTAAATTAGAGCTATAGTACAGTTCTGAAGCAACTGGCGTCCCATTTCATGGTCAACTACTACTTCAAGACCAATCAGGATAAGCTAAGCCAAAACCCCAAGTTCCAGAATCCCAAGTACCTATCCATTCTCAACCATCTGAGGTTTTATCTTCCTGAGATCTTCCCAAAGCTTAACAAGGTGTTATTTCTTGACGATGATATTGTAGTCCAGCAGGATCTAAGTGATCTTCGTTCAATAGATTTGAAAGGAAAGGTTAATGGCGCTGTCCATACCTGCGGAGCGACTTTCCATAGGTTTGATAGGTACCTCAACTTCTCAAATCCCCTAATTGCTAAGCAGTTTGATCAGCGTGCCTGTGGCTGGACATACGGCATGAACATGTTCGATTTGATTGAGTGGAGGAAGCAGAATATTACTGATGTCTACCACTACTGGCAGAATATGGTGAGTATTCATGAGCTTATCAATTATCAGTAATGTTTGAGGCAAAAAAATACACTATTTCCATAAATGCTTGCAAAGGGCTATTAGTGGAATGGTTGTTGGCTTGCATTATTTTACTACTTAGTAATTCTTATTTTAAAATATTAACAACGTGTAGTCTATTTTTATACACGAACGGATAATAAAAAAATTGATTCTAGAACCGCTTAATGTTGTATTAGTGTCTTGTCGAACCATATATTTGTCTAAGGACATGAATCTCATTCATGCAGAACGCAAATAGGCAATTATGGAAGTTAGGAACACTTCCAGCCGGTCTTGTCACATTTTGGAACCGCACATTCCCTCTTGATCACTCATGGCATCTCTTGGGTCTAGGGTACAAGCCAAATGTCGGCCAAAGAGATATCGACCGTGCAGCGGTCCTACACTACAATGGGAATCGAAAACCTTGGCTTGAGATTGGATTACCAAGATATCGCAAATTTTGGTCCAAATATGTCAATTTCGATCATGCTTTTCTACGTGAATGCAATATGCATCCGTGAGCTGCTTCTGGTTATCTTTTCAAAAAGAGAGGAAAAAAACAAGAGCTACCTAGATCTGCAGAGTATTTCTTTGATGAGTACTCTTCTCTGATTATTTTTTAATCGATGTATAGTCAATCTCCCTGCTTTAAATTAGAACGCAGACAAATCATAGTAGGCCACTGAGAGTAGGCCTCAGAATAAGATAGAAAATGGTTGTTTTGTGCTATTATGATCCTTTTGATCAAATCTTACGGATGGTAATATAACATTTTACTTGCTAGTGTGTTGTATATATAGGAGTATAGTAAAAGCAGCTCGGTCTATTGGAAAACAATGAAGGAGATATGTTAAGACTTAGATCTGAGCAATTTGTGATATTGTTTGCATTTTATTTATCAAACCATAACTGAGGCCACAAGTCTCGATGCATTTAACACATGCTATCGCTACCTCATCTCAACATTCGTCATCCGTGAATGCACACTGCTTCTTCGACTGGGTTGGAGGATTCGGGTACGTTGCACTGCAGTGCGCGTCACCGTCGACGATTCGGCCGGTTCGGCTGGTATTAAAACCAGCTGATAAGCCAGCTAAAGCTGTTTTTGTTGTGAGAAAAAAATACTATAAATTATATCTGATAATGCCGTCCCTCAGCCACCTCGTGTTCGCTGAGGGCAGGGGCAAGGCACTCGCATATGATGTCTCGCTTGCCGTCACCACATCGGTGAGGCGCAGAGGAAGGATCGGAGGGAGCACTCATGGACCCTGTCGGGACTGTGCGATGATTTACAGCAACCATGTATAGTAAGTTGGATTGGATGTGTTGGATCGACATGGCTTTAAGCGGTGTTGGATTGGACTGGATTAGATGTCTCTACTGATCATTAGGATTGAACTGGATAATGATGCAGTTTTAACTGGACTTTCGGTTGGATTCTTTTGATTGGGTTTGGATGGTCGCGTCCACCGTGAGCAGCTTAGCCCTGGCATAGAAAAAAAACACGCGGGAGGCGATCGGGGACCTGCAGATTCGGTGCCGGTAGCGCGTGGCTTGGGGAAGAAGCAGCGTCGGACGCGGGAGCGGATCAGCGGAAGAAAGGAAACTGGCGTATCTCGCGTGTCCCCCGGTCACGCCGGGTCTCTCGGACACCCTTGTCCCATGCCACTCCGCCTCGTCAGCGTGCGTTCCCGCGACCGCGATCCTCCTGGGTCCTGACGTCACGCGCGGCGCAGCACGGGATATCAGGGCTCGGCCGATTCGCCTCGCCCGGGGCCGGATCGCAGCTTTTCTTTCCCTCTGCGGTCTGCGCTGCAGACATGCGCTCCTCTCCGGGTATCGTCCAGATTCTGTCGTCCTGAACTACTCCACCAGAGATTCTTCCTGTCGTCTCCAGCGGTCGGGGTCTCTGAAGAATCAACAAGGAGCATTGCCAAATCGAAGGCGCCTCACCGCCCTGCGTTCCAGCTCTGTGATCTGCCTTTGGATTCTTGCCGCTGTCGATAGTTCTGCAGGGAACAGCACGGCCATGTACAGTCAAGGCGAAGTAACGAAATCGGATAAGATGGGATCAAGATAGCAGTTTGGTTCTTTCGGTCACAGGCTGACGACGAACTGCGAACTGTACACATTTAGGGGCCACCCACTAGCTCTGTAGTAGGAGTGTACGCGATGTTTAGTAAATATAGGTTACGAGAGGTGGGACTGTGATAGGGAAATGGATGAATGGTTAAGATTAAATGAGGTGTGAAGAATGGATGGCTATGGTACAATATTACAAGGCTGAGATATCATTTTCCTATCCCATTTGGCAAACATTGCTCAGAATATGGCTTTGCTACGTGCTATCCCTAATGCTTACCTCGCCGCCACTTATCTCAGCCACGCATCCTAAGTATGGTTTTGTAAAGGATTTTCACTATTGTACTGAAGATATGGTTTACACTGAATATTTTGCCATCCATAAGAGTGTCGGACATAAACGCAAGCGCAATGTGCTACAGCTCAATGCACCATAAACGTGGGACCCAAATCTGCTAGCTTTAGTTGTTAGCATGCATTTGGAGCAATGTTTACGGTCAAAAGAAGCCTTAACGTGGGTCCCATGTCATATAAAAAAATTCCAATCCTTCAACAGGCAGCTAGGCATGCAGAATTTAGAAAATTTTCTCATTTCCTGTGTTTTTTAATAAATTGATTCATATATGATTTATGTAAAATTACTACATTCCAAAATGAACCTTACATCCTAAAATAAATTCAAAAGAGTAAAATGCACCAGGGTCCATGAATTTGTCATGGTGTACCACTTAGGTCTATGGACTCTGAAAATACATTTATGGTTCCCTAACTTATCAAATGATGCACCACAAGTCCACATCGCTTTGTCAACATTTTCTTGCTTACGTGTCATTGCCAACATGGCATGTTTTTTTTCATTTAACCCTTACAGCCACGAACCAAGCGCGTGTTGCCACCATGGCCACGCCGTAGCAACCGGCGGCTAGCGCCGCCCATACGCGGTCGTTTGTCCTCGCACAACAACCTTAGCCGCGAAGCCGGGCCTAGGCTCACTGGCACCGTGCACCCACTCAAGCCGCACCTGTCGAGCATGTCGTTCCCCTGCCTCATCGCGACATAGGTCCGCTGCAGCCAGTCATGCCGCTCGCACCGGTGGTCGCCCTCGCGCAGCCTTACCTCGGGCAATAGCGCTACCGCCAACAGATGCTCACCAAGGTCGGCGGCGGTGTCTCGAGTCGGTGGAGTCGACAATGCGGCGCGCGAGACGGGCTCAATGACGGACGTGGCGGGGTTGTTGCTGCCATTGCCGTGTCGTCGTTGCCGCCGCCGCCGCCGCGCCACCACGGCCGCCGGCGGTCACGAGGTGGACGCCATCTGCTGCATCCGCAAGATGCTCGCCGTACGGTTGAAGCGGTGGCCGACGCTGAAGGTGCTCACGGGGTCGGCGGCCCGTGGCGGCGAGGGGAGGCAGAATCGCCAACAACGTGAGACGCTTAGCGCGTGTGCCTCGCCGGACCTTAGCCCGAGGACGCCACCCGTGCGTTTGCTCGTGCGGTGTCGTTGGGATCTAGTGCCTCGATCCGCCGACGACGCGGTGCACTTATAGGGAAGTGGCACGTCGAGCTCCTCGCCCACGCCGCGCTCAATCACGAGTGGACGGCGAGCACCCTATTCTTCCTCAACACTCGCCCGGATCCGCAGCATCACGATCTGGGTGGCCGCCATGGTGGCCGGACCTCCGCAATAAGCGAACAAGGTGGTGATCTTGCCTCTCAAAGCGGAGGAGAACGACGAGGCCCTCGCATGTACCGGGCGTCGCCACGAAGACATCAAGCGTCTTTGCAGCTGCAATGAAATGGCCTACTTCAACATTTGATCTGCTATGCACGAGGCACAACAGTGGTTGTGGTGGTTCCTGCCCATGGAAGCGCGGCGGGAGCGTGAACAAGCACGGTGCAGCGGAGTGCGTTGCAGTGTGCTGTTATTTTCTGTGTGCGGTGGCAGAGTTTGTCGTCCTCATGGCCATGCGCGTGCCCAACGTTGTCATTGAAGTTTGAGGCAAAGAGCAAGATTGAAGTGATACATTAATAAGAGAAGGGAGAAGAGGAGGGTTTAAGTACAAAAATGCATGCCATGTTGGCGTGACACGTAAGCAAGAATTGCATATGTGGCTGGTATGGACCTGCGATGCATAATAATCTAACAAGTTCAGAGACCTAGAAATATGCTTTTAAAGTTTATGGACCTAAGTGGTATCCCTCGACAAGTTTACAGGCCGTTGATGCATTTAACTCGTTCAGAAATATACGAGTACTCACGTCAACTCGAGGAACTGAGGTGCAACTCAGTCGGAGTATAAGTTTAACTTAACTTTACGGTGGTTCTACATGTAATTTTTAATAATTTTTCTCCTTTTAACAAAAAAACGTACCCACGAAAATAAATTGCATTTTGAAGACAGGCCGTCAAAATTGGGCGTGTTTCCTTCAAGTTCGCACAAAGTTCCTTAAACCCAAACGGGGCCAAAAGAAAATTAGAAACAATCAAAGGGCGCAATCGCTCTTTCCACCGTCACCTCCAGTTCCAGAGCTCATCAGATCCGCGGCCCTGTTCGCCCACCTCGCTCGCCTCGCCTCGCCTTCCGCTGCTTCCCGCCCCCAACCACCACGGCGTTCAGATCCCGCGAGCTCTCACCTCTCCACCTCCCCTCGCGGCGGCGTGCCCTCCCCGAGATCTCAACATGGACACGGTCGAGAAGATCGTCGAGGACTTCGCCTCGGACATCGCCCTGAGCCCCTTCTCCTCCGGGACGAGCCTCCGGTGAGACCCCCTCCCCCCACTAATTCCCCAAACCTACGCCGGATCCGTCGTGATAGCCCGTACCAATGCTGTAATCGTGCTTCGTGAGCTTCCCGCAGGGAGATGATACGCGCGATACGCGCGTGCAAGACGGCGGCGGAGGAGCGCGCGGTGGTGCGGCGGGAATGCGCAGCGATACGCACGGCCATCAGCGAGAATGAGCCGGAGCTCCGGCACAGGAACATGGCCAAGCTCATGTTCATCCACATGCTCGGCTACCCCACCCATTTCGCCCAGATGGAGTGCCTCAAGCTCATCGCGGCCGCGGGGTACCCGGAGAAGCGGGTGGGCTACCTCGGCCTCATGCTGCTCCTCGACGAGCGCCAGGAGGTGCTCATGCTCGTCACCAACTCCCTCAAACAGTAGGCCGCCCATGCAGTCTCTGCAATATCACTCCGCGAATGTTTGTTTCCTCAAATGCCGTGCTGAGTTTTGAGTAATGTTAGTGCTTAATTTGGTGGCAGAGATCTCAACCACACGAACCAGTTCATCGTGGGCCTTGCACTGTGTGCTCTTGGGAACATCTGTTCTGCTGAAATGGCGCGGGATCTTTCACCTGAAGTGGAGAGGTTGATGCGCAGTAGGGAAGTCAATACAAAGAAAAAGGTATTTTCCTGTATATTGTACTTCATTCAATCGAGCCCAGTGGAGCATGGCGAAAACAAACAACTGATAGCTGAATTATTGATGTGTCATTTCAAGGAATTTGAACAGTCTTGAAACCTAGGTTGATTCAGAAACTGCATAGAATTACCAAATTCAGGCTCGTTGTGAATGGTTTCATCAATTGGTCTATGTAAACTGCTGTACGCGTATTTTTGGATGCAATTTAATTCATGGTATACTTCTACTTGTTTATTAGGCTGCTTTGTGCTCTATAAGGATTGCCAGGAAAGTGCCAGATTTGGCAGAGAACTTCATGGGACTGGCTGCATCATTGTTGAAGGAAAAACACCATGGGGTTCTTATATCTGCAATTCAGCTCTGCACTGAACTATGCAAAGCAAGCAGAGATGCTCTAGAGTACCTGAGAAAGGTAAGGGCATCTATTTCTACATGGAAGCATACATAAAAAATTAACATTTTCTCATGACGATTAAATGGTGATCCTATTTGATAATTGATGTATCACTCTATCTCGCTTCGTATAGGAGATGCACAGTTTTATAACTTTTAACATTTTCTTTGCTGAAAATGGTACTATTCCTGAGTGGCTGAGACACAATTTCTTCTCATTGCAGAACTGCATTGAAGGTTTGGTGCGCATACTGAGAGATGTGTCCAATAGTTCATATGCTCCTGAGTATGATGTTTCTGGCATTGTTGATCCATTCTTGCATATTCGAGTCCTTAAACTTTTGCGGATCTTGGGTCAAGGAGATGCAGACTGCAGTGAATATATGAATGATATTCTTGCTCAGGTGATTGATTAATCGTTATCTTTGGTTTCACATTCATTACAGCTGCATTTATTGTTTTATGGTACTAAACTTGCAATTATTTATCCAGGTTGCAACAAAAACTGAGTCCAACAAGAATGCTGGAAATGCCATTCTGTATGAATGTGTTCAGACTATAATGGGTATTGAAGCTACTAGTGGTTTGCGTGTGCTGGCAATCAATATTTTGGGTAGATTCTTGTCTAACCGTGATAACAATATAAGGTCGATATGTTCTTCTTGTTGCTCTCGCTTGCTTATTGTTTTTCCTTCTTTTTATAAACACTGTTCGTGATTAGTTTCTTCTACCATGCTTGATGGACCTGCTAGTTGTAGTATGTGCCTATATTAAACTTGCAGTTGCAGTTATTATAGCCTATGAAATTGATTCAGCTGCAACTATTTTTCAAGCAATAATACATGGAACAAATGGTTGCTGTTGGTTATGTTCTTTTGATCAATGAAACATTTATAGGTGGGATATTTACTGTGCCTGTCCTCTTTCAGATATGTTGCTCTTAACATGCTTATGAGGGCCATTGCGGTTGATGCACTAGCAGTTCAGAGGCACAGAACAACAATATTAGAGTGTGTAAAGGTAAGAATGCATGCAATACTATCCATGTTTAGTGCTTGTCTTACTATATCTTACGCTATGCCGATTTCTGTATTTATTAGATTATTACAAGAACCCTCATATTATACCACATGCCCACACTTTCTAACCTTCAGCTTGTTAGCATAATACTCTCAAGATTTAGGCATTCACATTTTTGCAAACCCAGTGTAGATTGTAGACCCACCTTTTGTTTCCAACTTTGAAAAGTTCTTGAATGGATGCGTGTGACAAAGGGGTTGTCTTATCTAGTCCAATATTGTGTTTGGAGCTCTCTGTAGTTTCATCAATCCTGCACTTGGTTTAAAGTGCTTCTTTTACTCCCTCCATTCCAAATTGTAAGTCGTTTTCGCTTTTCTAGATTCTTAGTTTTAACTATGTATCTAGACAATGTATATCTAGATGCATAACGAAGCTATGTAACTAGAAAAGCCAAAACGATTTACAATTTAGAACGGAGGGAGTACATTCTAAACCTGAATTCATATTATTCGAGGAAGATTAGTCAGTATATATGTTACTGCTATTGCAAAGTAATATTTAAGTCAACAGTTCACAATATATGATCTATTAGTTTCTAACTGTATATAATCAAGTCTGCTGTTTATCTAGCTACATCAAACCTGACATTTACTGTTCAAACAGTCTATTTCTTTTTTTCTGGCTTTTATCATTTCTAATTGCTGTGTACCTTTCAGGATGCCGATGCCTCCATTCGCAAAAGGGCTCTTGAGCTTGTTTATTTGTTAGTCAATGATACAAACGTAAAGCCTTTGACTAAAGAGCTCATTGATTACTTAAACATAGCGGATCCAGACTTTATAGGAGATCTCACAGTAATGATATGCTCTATAGTTGAAAAGTTAGTATCTATTTATTTTGTTGGTTCTTATTGACTTGTGGAGTGTTTAACAATGTTGCATCTCCAATAGGTTTTCTCAAGAGAAGTTATGGTACCTTGACCAGATGTTCAAGGTTTTATCTCTGGTAAGTACTTAAGTACTGGGAAGATACTTTTATATCCGAAAAGTCTGCACTCCAGAACACCATTTTTTGGGTTTCTTGCAATTTTACTTCTAACCTTGCATCTTTGCTGCAACACTGTTGGAAGACTCAGTTATTTCATCTTCTGGACAAATCTGTTCAACCTGCATGCTTGTAAATACGGAGCACCCTAAGTAGTTTGTAGTACGTACTGGAAATGTCAAGTGAGGTTATCACCTGCATTGGCAATTATTGATAAGAATTTAAAATCTGTAGGGAAGGAAGTTTCTCAACGTTTCTTCACAGCTATCCTGTCCATAGCGGAAGAAACTATAATACTGGCCACAGCCTTGATTTTAAGCCTTAGACTTGGGTTTCCTGCATTTCTCCTTGCCCTTTTGTGCCTCATACTTACAACATGCACACAGCAACCTCCAAAGGATGCCAGGCACTTCCACTATCACAAAAAACCTGTCATAACCCTTTTGAACTACACAAATATTGCTATCTTTGCACACACGTTAGGTGTTGCTGGTAATTGGGAATTGAGACACTGTTCATAGTTATGTTGTGATCCATTGCTTGAAATAGCTTGAGATATCAAACTCAATTCATGTTCCACTCTTATTGTTGAACAACAACAACATAGCCTTTTAGTCCCAAGCAAGTTGGGGTAGGCTAGAGTTGAAACCCACCGAGAGCCCCAAGTCACAATTCAGGCACTTCAATAGCTGCTTTCCAAGTACTCCTATTCAAACATAGATCTCTAGGTATATCCTAAGCTTTCAAATATCTTTTTATTGCCTCCCCCCATGTCAATTTCGGTTTTCTTCTACCTCTCCTCATATTATTAGCTTGACTTAGGACTCCACAATGCACTGGTGCCACTGGAGGTCTCCTTTGGACATGGCCAAACCACCTCAACCGATGTTGGACAAGCTTTTCTTCAATTGGTGCTACCTCTAGGCGATCACGTATATCATCGTTCCGAACTCGGTCCATTCTTGTGTGACCGCAAATCCATCGCAACATACACATTTCTGCAACACTCAGTTGTTGAACATGTCGAATCTTTGTAGGCCAACATTCTGCTCCATACAACATAGCCGGTCTAATCGCCGTTCTATAGAACTTGCCTTTTAGCTTTTGTGGTACCCCTCTTGTCATAGAGAATGCCAGAAGCTTGTCGCCACTTGATCCACCCTGCTTTGATTCTATGGCTAACGTCCGCATCAATATCTCCATCCCTTTGTAGCATTGATCCTAGATACCGAAAGGTACCCTTCTTAGGCACTACTTGACCTTCCAAACTCACATCTCCCTCCTCCTGTACAACTCCGCCAAAGTCGCATATCATGTATTCAGTTTTAGTTCCGCTCAATCTAAAACCTTTAGACTCAAGGGTCTGCTGTCATAACTCTAGTTTCCTATTTACTCCCGCCTGGCTTTCGTCCACTAACACTACATCATCAACGAATAACATACACCAAGGGATATCCCCTTGTATGTTCCTAGTAACCTCATCCATTACCAAGGCAAAGAGATACGGGTTTAAGGCTGACCCTTGATGAAGTCCAATTTTAATTGGGAAGTAATCTGTGTTACCATCGTTTGTTCGAACACTAGTCACAACATTGTGGTACATGTCCTTGATGAGGGTCACGTACTTTGATGGGACTTTATGTTTGTCCAAAGACCACCACATAACATTTCTTGGTATCTTGTCATAAGCCTTCTCCAAGTCAATGAAAACCAAGTGGAGGTCCTTCTTCTGCTCTCTAAACCTTTCCATAACCTGTCTTATTAAGAAGATTGCTTTTGTGGTTGACCTTCCGGGCATGAAACCAAATTGGTTTGTTGATATCTGCGTCGTTCCTCGCAGGCGCTGCTCAATGACTCTCTCCCATAACTTCATAGTGTGGCTCATCAACTTAAATCCCCGATAATTAGTACAACTTTGGATATCTCCCTTGTTCTTGTAGATTGGTACCAATATGCTTCTTCTCCACTCCTCAGGCATCTTGTTCGATCGAAAAATATTGTTGAACATCTTGGTAAACAGGCTTGAGATATCAAACTCAATTCATGTTCCACTCTTATTGTTGAACAGGCTGGAAATCATGTGAAGGATGATATATGTCATGCCCTTATTGTTGTACTAAGTAATACAGCAGAGTTTCAAGGATATTCAGTGAGGTCATTGTATAAGGCCTTACAATCATATGGTAAACAGGTTAGGGGAAAGTTTATACTCTTCATATTGCATTCCATTCCATCTCATCCTACCTGATGTCTGTAACGTTGTCAATATTATACTGATTAGGGAAGTTTAGTAAGAGTAGCTGTTTGGTGCATTGGTGAATATGGTGAAATGCTGGTGAACAATGTTGGCATGCTGGACAGGGAGGAGCCAATTAAGGTTAGTGGACAATTCTTGAAGGATATGTTCTTTATTGATCCTTTGAAGTCTGAATTCACGTATTTAAGTTCTATTGTTGTCTGCTCTATACTTGAAGGAGCTAGGCTGACAGCCATCCTGGCCCCACCCAAACAAGGGCTCAGTAATTATTCCAGAAATCCACTGCACATTATTCATACATATGTATGCATAGCAGATGGCCTTATTTACAATCTAAATATTTAGCTTAGGAAAAATGAACTGAATTGTTAAGGAACCTTTCCCAACGTACCGTGCACCACTACTCATCTAATTTGTGGTACATGATGAGAAATGTATCAAATTGTTCAGGAACCTTTCCCAACCTACCGTGCAGTACTACTCATCTAATTTGTGGTACATCATGAGAAATGCATCAAATTGTTCAGGTAACAGAATCTGATGCTGTGGGTGCCGTAGAGTTCGCTCTTAGCCGCTACTCAGCAGATGTGACAACTGGAGCTATGTGTCTGGTTGCTCTTCTGAAGCTCTCCTCACGATTTCCTTCGACGTCAGAGTAAGATATCTTTCAGCCTGACCTCATACGGTTGTTGCACTAAATTATTACTTCATGAGATACTGACTCAAAGCTGCGGTTCTCTTAACTGTGAACTTGTATTTGTTTGATGCACTTTTGGTTCTCTTTTATTCATGACGTTCTTGATAAATTTGAGTACATTGCTGGAGATCCAAGTTTGGATCTACAGAACTAGTCAGGACACCCTCTTGCGCCCTAACTGACCTAGTATTCAATGACATATCCAAGTAGGCAAGAGTATGATTTGCTCACCATCATGTATGATTTGCTCATGTTTTTAATAGCACCTTTAATGAATCTTCTTTACAAGATGATCACATCGTTCGGAGTGTTAACTTGACATAATATATCTGCCCTCTGGTATTTTAGACTAATATCTACCTCTTACTAGAACCCTGCTATACACATGGGCACTGGGGATGACTGGATTGTATGACTAGTTCAAAGCAGATAGTAGATTTAGTCATACAACTTGGTTATATGTTCCGGTCGATTGACAGCTATTTCCCTCTAACAGCATCATATCTGTGTCGATTATTCCTGTTATGGTGATCTTTTGTAACCCCAAAATACTTCAAAACTTACTATGTCTGTAAACAGTGTTTACTCTAGCTAGGTGGTTATTATTAGTATAATACTGCTTTGTTTTCACACTGACTTTACTGTCTATATAAACAGGAGGGTCAAACAAATAGTTGCCCAGAATAAAGAGAATGTTGTGCTTGAACTACAGCAAAGATCAATTGAATTCACTTCCATTATACAAAGACATCAGTCTATCAGGTGGCCCACCAAACTTCTATATGTTACCGCAGAAGATTTGCTTATCATTGTATTAGTTATGTCAGATTTAATCGTAGAGAATCTGGTTCAAGTGCAGATCATCCTTGCTTGAACGCATGCCTGTATTGGATGAAGCTAGTTATCTGGTGAAGCGGGCTACTGCTACACAAACAACTATTTCAGCAGATAAACTTGCCCCAGCAGTCACTCCTGGAAGCCTTAAGCTTCCGAATGGTGTAGCGAAACCCACCTCAGCTCCTTTAGCTGATTTACTTGATTTGAGTTCTGATGGTGCCCCAGCTTCAACTGTTGCTTCTACTACGACACCTAATGATTTTTTGCAAGATCTTCTGGGTATTGGTGGAGTGAGTTCATCAACGACAGGTATTCTTTTTCCTGGTATCTCTGTTCTCATGTGCAGTTCCCACACACCTTCAGAATATGCACTTTTACCTTTTCTGAAGTTTGCCCTCCTATCCTTAAATTTACTTCTAGTGCTATAATATGGGATCCAAAATTTTGTATGTAACCTCGTTTCTTGTTATTGGTCTTTATTGTGTACTTCAGTTATTATCTTTTGGGGCACTTATGTTATTATCAGAAAAATTCCTTGCTTTAGCAATATCCAATCTTTCTGTTTTGTTCAGGTGTAACTTCGACCGCAAGCACAGATATTCTTATGGATCTTCTGTCCATTGGATCATCTCCATCACAGAATGGCACCCCCGTAACAGACTTCCGTCATCCTGGACAAGGTAAAAGTAATTTTAGCTGTAGCAATTTCCTGTGTTTCTATTTTTGAGTTATGACTGTTATTGAATTTTGTTATTATACTGATGTAGCAGAGTCTAAACCTGTTCCTGCTGTACCTGAAGCTATTGACCTCCTTGGTAGTTTGTCACCAGGTACATTTGCTTCTGGTTACTTTGGTTTAATGTAGACACCTATTTTCTGATTATAACCATTGATGAATTGTCTACCACTATTGCAGCAGAGACTAAACCCACACCAGTGGTACCTCAGGACATGGATCTGCTCGATGGTTTGTCATCAAATACTTCTGTTTCTGGTTAGTTTGGTTGTTCATATTGGCAAACAAAGTAATTATAATGTCTTCATTGGTCACTAAATCTCCTAATTTGAGCAGGCCTTGAGAATACAACCCATCCATCAATAACAGCTTTCCAGAGTGCAACCTTGAAGATCACGTTCGATTTCAAAAGGAAGCCTGGAAACCCACGAGTGACTACAATTCATGCCACTTTTACAAATTTGACATCTAGTACTTTTACAGATTTTATTTTTCAGGCTGCTGTTCCAAAGGTAACATCTTATTGCTGTATGCTGCAATCTATTTTTGAGTTCTTCACTGGCACTACACCTTGATGTTCCACGGTTTTTATTCTACATATATAGTTTTTACACTTAAAATCGATGATATTCCATGGTAGTTTATAGTGCGAATCTTTTATTCAGCTTACCCATGTCTGAAGCTGTTGAACATTCTTTCGCTTTTTCCATAAATTTATATAGCTTGAGTTTTTCGTTACTCTGTGCTCTGATCCTTACCATCTTTCTTCACCTTAGACTTAGAGCATGGAAAGAGGCTGAACATGATCATCATTTCGTGCTTTGTTCTTTGTGTTCTTTAATAAGAAGTTTTATAATTGATATGCTGATAATGTTTCTTATTCTTGCAGTTCATCCAATTGAGACTGGATCCGGCTAGTGGCAACACTGTTCCAGCTAATGGAAATGGTTCAGTCACACAAGGGCTCAATGTCACCAATAACCAACAGGGACAGGTATATGAAGATCTGCATCCTTCACTTCCAGTTCAGCTTTTGTATATCTTTTCAGTGACTTCATTTTAGTCTTCTTCCATATGATGTGTTTTACAATGGTTGACAATTGACATTATACAGCTGTAGTAGAAGTACTAACAGGAAAAGTCTAGGCCAAAAAGTTTATAACATACTTTTGCAATTCGTTTCAAAAATAAAGCTTAACAAGTTTAATGGATTCATTTGAGAAAAAAAAGTGCTTAATGGAATGGGTTGTAACTGCTGAAATGCCCTTGTTGGAAAACAGACATGTATTTGTATCGCTGCTCCTGTGTCTTTCATCATTTCTTAGATAAGTTGTTGACTGTTGTTCCATGTACTGTAACTTGACTAAATGTTACCTTTTTTTTAATATAACTACACAAGGAACAACATGAGCCTTTTTTTTCCCCGTGTGCACTTTGCAAAATGTTGCTATGTAGATTATAGTAGAATTGGCATATGCTCATACAAGCTACTTGCTGGCATTTTTTAATTTACATGTACTTCCATATCCAACACCATTCCCATCAATGTGCCTGTGAGCAATTGTCGTAGTCAAGAACAATGTTGTTAACAAAAGATTTAAGCATTTTGCGCACATCATTAGAGTCCCTAATTTGTCCTACCACAATTATAACCAGGGTTTTGAATCCTCAATCACTGCCTGTAACAAATTTTCGTGGTGGGTACCATGGGAACAAATCCTGGCCACGGAACCTTTGAAGTTGAAAGTATTTATTTCACTTCAAATTGGTAAACTTTATTTTGAGTGACAATCTGCTATAAACGGTCATAACGGATGGTAACCGGTCAAATTTAGATGAACTCTTGAATTTGACAAATCAAACGAGCCCTGCGCAGGACAAGAACCAGCCATAGTCAGAGACTTTTGGATTATACACCGATGCTCTGTATATACATAATTTTATAAACCTTGATAATCCTGTAACCACTTTATCCAGCATTGTTTTGGAGTTTATCTTTTCATTCCATATTCCTATACTTATATCTGATGTTTCTTCTCCCTCTATCCTGCTAAGCAGAAACCGCTTGCAATGCGAATCCGGATGTCTTACAAAGTGAATGGCGAGGACAGATTGGAACAAGGCCAAGTCAGCAATTTTCCTTCTGGACTATAGTGCCGTTTGTTCTCTCGAATTGACGTGTCGGGGACAGGCACAGAGCGAAGCCTTATTTTACCCTGTTCCTCGTTTTCTTTTTAATATTCTTGTTCCCCCATTTGTGGGGGTACTTAGAGAAAATAGTTTCTTCCGGCCATTCGTTTTCCCTATATATATTGTATGTATAGTATCCAGCAGCGATGTGATCATCAGATTCATCGTGATGTATTCGACACCACTCTAAAGGACAATCTGAACAAGTTTCTTCAGCTCCTCATCATTACAAATGGCTTCTGTTTTTCTTGTACTGCCTACCACTGCCAGGGAGAGCCGTGAAAGTTAGGGGATGCCCAACGCGCGGAATTGTACTGTAATTCGCAAACTTTTAATTACTGCCTTCTCATGGTGAATAGAGTTTAAACCGCTGGTATGCGACACGGCTGGTACATACATCGAGCAGGTCGACCAGGTGCAGGCCCCGGCGCTCGTCGAGCTCGGCCAGCACTGCCGAGTGCTGAATTGTTTGGCGGCACTCTCTCAAGAGTTTGTCCTATGATGGGCCAAAATGAGCTATCAGGGGTGGTTTTCAAAATCGTGACTGCGCCATCAGTTATAAGGATCTTGCATTTTTAGACGTCTTGCATCCAAATAAATTTTCATTAATTAATAAATATATAGGTAAAGAAATTGAAGTATACCTGTAATAACAGGATAAAACCCTAATTTTTTTGAGCAAGAATAAAACCCTAATAAAATTCGAGTACCGTTGCCACCCCTCGTGTTCATGAACCGAAGCTATCAGGAAGCCCAGCCCAGCAGTGCGCAAGTCCAGAAAGAGAAAGCAGGCCGGCCCGCAAACTTGCAGCCCACATGAATCAGCGAGCCCGAGTCCAGCCTCATCTCCCTCTCCCTCCTGGCAGCTCAGCTCTTCACTCTCTTCGGCTCCCCATCTCCGCCTCCAGCCGCGGCCATGGCCACCCCCAGCATCTCCGCCCCGCTCGCCGTCCGCGCCGCCCCCTCCGGCCCCTTGTCGCCCCCGTCTCTCCGTTTCTCCGCTCCCTCCACCGCCAAATCTCACCCTCACCTTCAGCCTGGGTATTCGTGTAGGCGGATTGGAGCCAAACCACGCCTTGGTCTCCGAGGTGAGTTTTCCACGCACTGGTTCCGCATCTCGTTCTAGTATCGCTCGCCTTTTTTCTTCCCTATATATACGAATCGGATAGAGTCGCACGCACCGCCCAGGCCCCAGGGAAGGCTGAGTTGACCAGGCGAAACGAAACCACTCGGTTTGTTTGTTTTTATCGACTGGACTATTAGATTAGGCCTGCAGGGTTCTATTGCTGGTGACGTCCTTATGTTACTCAAGGAGCACAATTGCTATCTTGCAACACAATTGTTGTGTGCTTCCGAGGTGCCGCAGAGAGTGGATTGGTTGTGTCTCTGGGATCATTTGGTTGTGTGAAGTGTCCAGTTGCTTAGTTCTTTATCAATCCTTTGATTGGGGTCTGCATTGTCCCATTTCAGGCCTCTCATAGGCAGAACATCGATTGGATGCTAGGATTATATCATAATTCATTCTGTATGAGTAGATTACACACATTTCGCCACTGTACGAGCATTTTGACTGATACAAAATAGGAACACGACCATGTAGTAAAAGGGACTTTCATGTTGAATTTGCATTAATTATGTTAGGCACGACCATGTAGTTCTACGCTCTTGCCTGAAGACGCATCTTGACTTTTTAGCAGGATAGTAAACACAGATAATGCTAATATTGCACTGGGCATGCTTGAACCGATTTTCTGTCTATTCCTTTTAGGCGTGCTATTTTCCCGTTCACTTAGCATGCTTTTGCACTATTATTTTGTTGTGATATGTCGAATTCCTATCTCACGCTAATTATATACACATAGGATTCCAATCTGTGTCACATGGTGTTTCTTCACAGCAGGCTGAGAGGATACGCTGCCATTCTTCTCTCAGGTACATATTTGTAACTACCATTACGTATTGCGCTGCTAAGTAACCTGTCTGTTTTTTATTGAGGCCACGATGCTGTGTATTAAAATTTTATCTTTCACCCTAATAATATTGCATATACCGTGATTTCTTTGTAACATGGTTAATGATTTTGGATAGGCAAAACACAATAGTTGCATCTGAGAACGAAAATCCACCTTTAATGCCGGCAATCATGACTCCTGGAGGTGCTCTTGATCTCGCAACTGTACTACTGGGAAATCGTGTAATCTTCATTGGTCAATATATTAACTCCCAGGTGGCACAACGTGTGATATCACAACTTGTCACACTTGCTGCTGTCGATGAAGAGGCTGATATTCTGGTTAGTATATGCATTCTTATGCTGCTGGAGTTCTAGCAGACCCTCGTTTGTTGTTCTTTATGATCTTCTACCATCTTTTGTATAATTCATATTCTTTTTGTCAGATCTATCTTAACTGCCCTGGTGGAAGTCTCTATTCGATCTTAGCGATTTACGATTGCATGTCCTGGGTAAGTCATCTATGCTCAGTGCCTTTTCTGATTTAATACTGGGACTGTATTCTTAAGTCATACATTTAGAGCACCAAGACTTACGATTTTGGCACTAGAATCTATTTACGTGACAATCCTTCTGTTTCATGCATGCTCCTTACTTTGTGTTAATTGCTGTGTAGTTTTATTATTATTCTAAAAGCTTAATCTGCTTATCATATATTGGTAACACAACATTATACGTTTGCAAGGTTTGTATCCATGTCATTGTTAGAGGAGTCAAGGGCCTATTGGGCCTTAGCCCATTAGAGTTAATTAGTCGCTTGCTTAGGGGCCAAGTCAGACCTCTCTATATAATGAGAGATGTATCAATCTAATCAAGCAAGAGATTAGAAGGAAATCCCCACGGCCGGCCTCCCCCAGCGCCCTTGCAGCCCTAGCCGCCGCCGTCGTGAACAGTACCCGCGGACACTGTAGCTCCACGGTACTGTAGCACGCCCTCTCATCTCCATCCCAACAGGCCACATAACATTTGGTATCAGAGACCATGGCTGGATCCTACGCCGCCGTGTCCTTCCCACCACCACCATCTACCTCCACCGCGCCGCTCCAATCTGCGGCCTCCGAGGTCTCGGAAGGCTCGACGATGTCTGCTGCACCGCTCACACTCGAGTCCTTGGCGGCTGCGATCATCGACATCAACCGCAACATAGCGTCCATGCAGGCGGCTTGGGCGGGACTCGTCCAGCAGCCCTCCCCCCCGCCGTTCTCGACGCCGCCGCCATCCACGGGGCGGGCCGGATCCCCTCGCCGCCGTGCCCATCTCTGTCACGCCACACCCACAGACACACCTCTGGCCTACGCCCCGCATCTCTGCAGCTCGCGTGTTCTTTCACCACCCTGCCCCGGCCATCGCAGCGCCCTTGCTAGAGGCTTGGACCTCCACAGGCGCCGATGAGTGGATGGCGACCCTCGTCCCATAACGCATGGCGCCTACAATTATTGCCCTTTCATCCGCGGGCGCTTTCTCGTCTCGGCGCGTGTCGGTGCCTCCATTCACAAGTGCACGCCGGCGATCGAGATCGCCATCGGCGGCAAAGAATGCAGTGGCGCTTTGGCGCAAGAGTGATTGTCGATCTGCGGCAGAACGATTACGCCGCAAAGACGCGCCTTTAGCGCGGCGCCGATCGCAGGAGATGCGCCGACAGATGCATGAGGCGGCCTTGACGGCGATGGACCTCGGCAAGGGGGCACGACCTCGCCCGTCGAACGGCCAACAACAACAGCGCCCGAATCGTTCTTTGTCTCGGCGCGAGCATGGTGCTGTTCCCAGGTAGCGCACTCGATTCTATGGGAGTGATGATAGAGAAGCGCACTCCTCTTTGTCACCGGCGGGAGCCATCGCTTAAGCGTTGCTATTTGCTGGTTACGCAGGTCGTCTCCACTGGTCGTCATTGCTGCGATTGATTCCGCATACCGCATGCAGTGCAACCTCTCGTTTCGATGGTCTCCATGGGATCCAAAGGCTACACGAGCATCACTCAAACGACGCTGAGGGTGTCCGCCGCATCTTCGTGAGTCAAGAATAAAGAGTCGAGTTTATTTGAAATAAGCCGATGTAAAAGGCTTGTTCTTAGGTGTTTGTTTGTGTCTAATAAAGCCATAGTTAGCATCATTGTTAGGTCAGCTATGAGGACCAGTGCATGTCCAGTGGGGTGTAGTGTTAGAGAGTCAAGGGCCTATTGGGCCTTAGTATTAGAGTTAATTAGTCGCTTTTGCTTAGGGGCCAAGTCAGACCTCTCTATATAATGAGAGGAGATGTATCAATCTAATCAAGCAAGAGATTAGAAGGAAATCCTTCTTCTCTTGCCGGCATGCTCCCCCGGCCTCCCCCCAATTGCTGTGTAGTTTTATTATGAACAGTAAAGCTTAATCACTGTAGCTCCACGGTACTGTAGCACGCCCTCTCATCTCCATCCCAACTGGCCACATAACAGTCATCCTGTTTGAGCAGTGGCACATGGACCTTCATGCTACTTTCTTTCATTTTTGCATTGTTTTGCATTAGTTATTTTCCTTCTGGGGCATGCAATAAAATGCTATATGTTCATTTGTTCATTCAGCTTTCTAGTTGTTCCCTTGCATGTTCCAAAACAATGAGTTTTGCTAAGTCTAAAATAAGAGAAAACATTCCCAAACAAATATATTCCAAACATGGCAGCAGAGTATGCTTGGCGCCTTGGCCACATTATGTAATACTGCTCTTACACTACATCCCAAGTGTTACAACCTGCTCTCCGTTGCCTAAATATATTTATCTTGCCAGAAGAGTCTACTATAACCAGGTTATGTTCACCATGATGTTGGGCATGCTATTTTCTTAAGACTGAGAGAAATAATTGTTTATGTTAATATGTTTTGTGTAATCATTCCGTATGTGACTGGTATATGCATTTTGCTTTGACGTGTCATCCACGGATATTTGATTTCCTTGTTTTAAATTTACTTTTAGTGTTTTTTAATTAAATCAAGCGATATATTTATATAAGATTTGATCCATTAGTTTCCTCTTGCCATTTTTATATTTACTATACACCAAAGATCTGCGTGTGCAATGACATTTCCTTCCATTCTGATGTCCTATGCTGATGCATGAAACATGATTTCTGTTATAACAAGCAGATAAAGCCCAAAGTTGGGACAGTGTGCTTTGGTGTTGTTGCCAGTCAAGCAGCAATCATCCTTGCAGGTGGCGAAAAGGGAATGCGCTATGCAATGCCAAATGCTAGAGTAATGATTCATCAACCTCAAGGTGGATCGGAGGTATGACTGTTGGCTTTCTTATTTGATTCAAGGAGCTAGACAAATTTCTAGTTTGACAGTTACCATCTTTGTCACCACCTCTAGTTGTTGCACACCCATCTTGCATTTTATTTTGATACAAGCAATTGAATTACGAGCAGGGTAATGTGGAGGAGGTGAGGCGACAGGTTGGAGAAACCATCTATGCTCGTGATGTAAGCATTTAGCAATTGTGAATGATTGATTTATTTTCGTCATTACATTTTCTCTCACTGGCACACTGCCAGTGATGCTAAGAAACGAACTAACTAGACCGTATATTTTGGTTTGTAAGGTCTGATTAAAAGTTCATGGACACTCTGCTTGCAGAAAGTTGATAAAATGTTTGCTGCTTTCACCGGGCAACCACTTGACATGGTGCAACAGTGGACAGAGAGGGATCGGTTCATGTCTTCTTCAGAGGTATTAACTTGTCTTGCCTATGTAGAAGGGCAGAAAAGAGCAAAGTAGCAAATTTCTCTTTTCGAGCTATTACTTATGTTTCACCATTTGCAGGCCATGGATTTCGGATTGGTTGATGCCTTACTGGAAACAAGATACTAGAGAAGGGACACAAACCCACATTTTATTAGCAGACTTGAATGCTGCAGAACTGGGGCTGAGGTTAGATGTTGGCTGTCCATCTTGTTAAGGCCCTGGAATTACAGGAGGTGCATACCGAAGAGCAAGATTTGCCGTTGTGCATGCATAGAGCAATATATGTTGATCGGTCAGTCTTTGGACTACAGTCCCGTTCGCGTGCCCTTAAACCCGGCTTGATCCGCTTATTATTTTATCCGGAATAGTATTTTTCTCTCACAAATTCCTCCAGCATTCCTCCAAACCATCCAGATTCCTCCAGAATTCAGACAAGCGAACATGCTCTACGACTTTCCTTGCAATGCATTTGTACCTGTAGCATTCGCCAGATTATGTTGCAACATAGGATGGCCTTGTCATGCACTCACGCTAAAGCTATGAACACTGTTCACCGTAGGCCTAGATGATCTTTGCGGATGGGAGAAAATTGTCTTTTTGATATATAACCAAGCCTGTAGACACATCTGCAAACTTGTACCCCAGGAAATGAGTAGTGGTTTGAGAAATCGTCTGGATTGAACATACTGAATTTACTGTGAGATCGTCCCATGATTTTTATGTGAAGAACTATGTTTCACAAACTTGTTTTTACAAGTGTTAAAATCAGGTGGTCCCTGCACACTTATCGTGGAATCGACGAGGAACTGGACGAGAAGCATTATACGTTTTTTTCCCCCCTGCAGTCTGGTCAGATTTGGGCGTGCCTCTCATTAGTTATAATGCAACTTGTGATTGTGAGTGCTTATAGTATATCAAAGCCTCAGTTTTAGTTTGGCTCTAGGCCTCGAGAAAACTTAAGACCTTATCTCCAACACTTTGAATCGTCTCGGTTTGTTTCCATATATATAGAGATGAATTTCTAGGTGTTTCATGGAGAGAGATGGACTTGACTTCTACCCATGCATCGTAGTTCGTAGATAATCAGGACTGTTATTATGGAGGGTAGCGACTGGAGGACCGGTACATGAACAGTACCAGGGTCGCTGTGGTAACGCGGATTCCAGGCGCTATATGGAGTTTACTATTACCATGGAGGTTCTTCCTTCTCCCGACCAGACTTTGCATTAAATGACCGTGCTGGATCTGGATTGTACGTAAACCTCTTACCGATCTCTTGCCGCGCGCATGAGTTACGAGTTACGACCACCAGCCCTGGCAACTTCCACGACCACCGAACTCAAGCTGGACACGACGACGACATCGCCGAGGGGGCAGCGATGGCTCACGACGATCCCATGGACATAGTCGCCGATGAGGTCGACAAGATCAGCGGGCTCCCGGACGATGTCCTGCTTGACATCTTGGGCAGGCTAGCCATGGCCGGCGACGTCCGCACCGTCGCGAGGACGTCCATCCTCTCGCGGCGGTGGAGGTCCCTGCCGTGGCCGCAGATCCCCACCGTCTCCCTCGACGTCGGAGAGTTCTTCCGCTCGGACCGGCGGCAGCACCTCTTCGTGGAGCAGCACCAGGCCACGGCGGGGCTCATCGACGCCCTGGCGCGCTTCCTGGCCGTCCCGCCGAGCGCTCGTGTCATCGAGACGCTGAGCCTCAAGCTCATCCTGACCAGGCGCGACTACGTGCGCCACGTCGGCGAGCTCGTCGGCGCCGCGGCTGACGCCAGCGCGGTAAAGACCGTCGAGCTCGAGCTCGTCACCGAGATGGCGAGAGTCGCGAGCGAAGTGGAGGCGCGGACCAAGCTCGGCTACGGCGAGCGCTTCAGGCACTTCATGCAGGACTGCCCCGGCGCGTTCCGGTCGCTGAAGAAGCTCGCCCTGCAGAACCTGTGGTTCGACGACCCTGCCGAGGTGAACAACCTCGTGCGCGGCTGCCACGCTCTCCAGCACCTCTCCCTGACGTCCTGTGACTTCTGTCCTAAGACCGTGCTGCAAGCCATGGACGACGACGACGAGCCGCCTCCGCTCCCTATGCTGACCATCGACGCGCCACAGTCACGGCTCCAGGCTCTGGTGTGCTAGTTCTGCTACATTGGCGGCGTCGAGCTGGTGCAGGCGCCGAAGCTCGCCAAGCTCTGGTACAACGCCGAGCTCCTCCTTGAAGATTCCATGGCGGCTCACCGGCCGATCTCGTTTGGTTGCGCTCCATCGCTGCGACCCTTGTGGCTATGTCAGGAGCAGGTCGAGCACAGCTTTGTGAAGCTCAAGTTGAGTGAGCTTCTGGTCGACAGCAAACTAGATCGGCTCGGCTTGGTGTTTGACAATGGAAAGGTACGGTAGTATGCATTGCATGCCAAATTGAAGCACAAACACCTCCCATATCTCAGGTGCTTGGTTTTTTGTTGTTATTCAGGTAATAACATGCAATTTTGTCATTATTTGGCTATAGAAAAAATTGTAAATTGTCTTTTGTAAGTTGTCTTTTTAATTGTGCTAGTTCATTGTGGATTCCTTGTCTACAGGCACCTGAAATGTAGCAACTTCCATTTTCAGTGTGAAATTGACTGTTTTATTTCGTTGTTGACATGTTGTTGCTGCAGATATGGGTTCAGCCAGAACGTCCTAATTAATAAGCAGCTCAGAGCTGTACTCGGCGGCCTAACGGGTCTGTATCTGTCGAATATCTATCCTGAGTGCGATCTCTCATGGACAACGTTCCTGCTGGAAGCTGCACCGGTGCTGGAGACTCTTGAAATCCATGTGCGTATATATTGCACCAGTTCATGCATGCATGCTAAACTCCTGCTTAATTACTAGTAGTTTGCTATGACTAATGCATCTTCTACGGTTCTACCTTGTCGTCGATGACGGTGTTGTACAGATATGTTGCCACATATGTGAGCTCAACAAGAACAAGAAACGTGGCGAGGATTCGGACCTAGCATGGTAGCCGTCTCCAGGGTTCAGGCTCTATAACCTGAAGCAGCTCTTTTTCCACCGCGTCTTCCATGCAGAGAAGGACCTGCCGTTAACGTTTGCGAGGCGACTCATGGTGCTGGCGCCGAACCTGCAGGCCGTCACCTTGGGCGTCAGGTCTCTCAAGTGTCCTGCATGCCTGGCCGCCCAGCGTAAGCGTCCAGGTTTAATTTGGCGGCATCGAGACGGAGGTTAGCGGAAGGCAGCGAGCACGTTGACGTTGATGCGTTCGTCAGGGCGCTCCAGGATGGCATCCCTACATCAGCCCAGATAACAGTACTTTTGCCTGAATTAGTTCGATGTAATTAGCTACTGTAAAGCGGTTTTATCTTGATTTTTTTCCCGAAAACCTGGTTTTATCTTGAAATGAATGTCCATCTTTTACTCATTTGGTTTGCAAGCTGAGCTGGCTCAACTGGTCGAGGGTGTTAATATATCTGAAATACTCAGGTGCGGGCATCCGTTCCATCGGACAAGGGGAAAAAAGAGACATTTTCATAGACGGTCGTGCGTTCCTCACCGCAGCACCGTGCCACCCGCCCGCCGCTCGCCTTCTCCAGCACGGGGGCGCCTCACGGCGTCCTTCTCCAGGCAGCGCGGGGGCGCCTCGCCGTGGGAAGGCCATACCCGCGCCGATCGCCGCCGCCGCCACCTCCACCGCGGGTGCAGCTCACCGGGGACCGCGCAACCGCCGTTGCCATCCTCCTCCACCGTGACCTAGCATTGGATCCCGTTGTGCAGTGCTCCGCCCGCCCGTCCACCAGGTATTGTTGAAAACGTATGTTGCAAGTATATGTTTCAATTGTTTCAGATGTTTCAAAGGTATGTTGCAAATGTTTTATATGGATGTTGTAAAAGTAGATCAGATGTTGCTTATGTTGCAATGGATATACACGTATGTTGCAAAGTGTGTGTTTCAAATGTTTCATCTGTTTTTAGACGTACGTTGATGTTGCATATGTTCTACGCATATGTTGCAAGTGTTTTATCTGAATGTTGCATATATTTTGCAATAGCTTTTTAAGTGTTTTCAGGTGTTTTTGCAAGTGTTTTAGACGTATGTTGTAAGTGTTTCAGTTGTTTTCACACATATGTTGCAAATGTTTCATCTAGATGTTGTAAAAGTAGATCTGATGTTGCACATGTTGCTATGGGACCCACTACCATAGCCGCCTGCTGCAGCTGCTGGGGCGTCGCCGTTCATGCACATGGGAAGTAGAGGGGGCACATGAAACACAGCGCGGCGGAGTGCAGGTGCGGGCGTCTATCCAAACGTCCTAGCGCTACCACTACCGTTAACATATGCCTAGACCATGTCTTCGGAGGGAAAATAGTTAGGTGCCTAGACAATGTCACAAGCTGAGGTGCCTTGCCCTGTTTAGCAATCTACCTTTCCATCTTGATAGGTGCCGACCAATTTTCTCTATAAGGGGTTGCACGTGAACTTTTTTGTAATGATCGTGTGTGAAGCTATAGATCGAGGTAGCGGTATCGGAAAAGGGTGTTGTAGGCCCCAGGGAAATGTTGGTGCACAGTCTATAAGTCGATGTTTTCGCATCCGCTCGGATATATGGAGCTTTTCTATGGTGATCAAGTTTGTGATGTCTCCAAAGACCTGAAGTATTCCTCTGATCGCATGTAATTCTGATATGATCAGGTTGATGAACATTGCCACGTCATCTGCGCATAGAGATGCTCTTAGTTTGGCAGAGGTCAGCCGTAGTGGGGAAAATATCCCTCTATGGATTGCGAGGTCTAGCATCTTTTGTAGAGGGTTGGATGGCAAGGATGAAAAGCATGGACGAAAGAGGGTCCCCTTGACGAACACCCCACTTGTGAACTAAGTGGCCGCATTGTCGAACATTCAAAAGTGCCCTTGACTTGTGCATTCTGAAGATGATGGAAATCCAAGTGCAGACATCGTCTCATTGCCAAGTTCGATTAAGTGACTCCAATTGATAGTGTCGAACACTTTTTGAATGTCGAGCTTTAAGAAGAGGGCTGGCGTCTTCGTCTTGTGTAGTTTTCATAAAAAGCACTTTGACTCTTGGGAGACTAGACTGTTTAGGAGGGGCACCAATCTATTTGTCAATAGCTTGGAAAAGATCTTTGATATGCTGTGTATGAGACTGATGGGCCAGAAATCACCCATTGATTTGGCCTCAAAAGTTTCTTTGGCAATGAGACGATGTTGGTTGTGTTTATTAGTTAGGTTGTAATCTTGGTCATTGATCTTATATAACTGGTTAAACGTGGTCGTGAGGTCCTCTTTAATTATTTTCCAAATTTTGCGAAAAAAAGTCGTAAAGCTATTTGGGCCGACGCCTTGTCTCCTAGAAGCAGCAAGAGTATTGTTTATCTTATCTTGTCCTGTGTGAAGGGGGGGGGGGGGGGCTCGAGGGAGGACAGGTCATGCTTTTGGTAGCCTAGGGAAACCAAATTGAAGGTTGTTCACTGAGGTTCCAATGTGCTTATGGAAGTGCTCGATTACGATTCTCGCTTTGTCTTCATGAGAGAACATCACGCCATTGTTTGTTTGGAGACAAAAAAATCTTGTTCTTCCTCTTTCTTAAGTTTGCACGGAGTTGGAAGAATTTTGTATTTGCATCTCGAATCTTGATTTTTCATCGATAATGAGAATCAACCCTAAGGATCAGGTTTTCAGGTTTTTGAGCAGGTTTATTTATTCCGGTGCGAGTGATCTGGCTTTCTGGGCGGTCTCAAGGTGGAGGATGATTTCTTTTACCATGGCCAGCCTCGTGTCCTCGGTTTTTGCCTTGCGCCACCTTTTGATGGCTTTCAAAGTACGTGCTAGCTTTATGTGTAGGCGTTTAAAAGGTTGGGATGATCTCACTGGTGTGTTCCATGCCGTTTGAATTGCTTCCATGAAGCAATCCATATGCACCCAAAAAATCTCGAACCGGAAGTGCTTCTTGTTTGGTGCGGGGCTAATCTCTCCCTCTCTAGTAGCATCGGGTACATGGAGGTAGGAGGAGGCGAAAAGGAGTTCCCACTCGATTGTGCAGAAAACTGTCTGGTTTGTTCGCTGGTTAGTTTCTAGGCTGATAAGCTCGGCTAGTGCTGGTTTATTGTGAGAGAAAAATATTGTTGATTGACGGATAAGCCTTGACTGAAACAAACAAGCGAACAGACTGTGTGTGTTGATTCTTGTCATGGTTGGATTGGTCTTCACATTGCTCCAAGTGAAGCGCCTGGTATTTGAGGTGGAGGGCATCGATTGTCGCTTTGAACATACACAATAGGCGGCCGTTGAGATTTCTGTTGATTTTCGGTCTTAGGCGTGGCAATATTTCCATGTGGGTTGTCCTCTATGTTTTGTTTTTATCTTATTGTAGAAAAATAAAATTTCATTACTCTATAATTGATTGTGTGGTGGGGTTTTGGAGTAGCGCTAGCTCTGACTTTGATCGAAGCCCTACCAAAAGACCAACCAAGAAATGGCTCTAGCGATGAAATCCAGAGGAAACAGAGTTAATTTCCTACTAGACGGATGGAGCCGCGGAAACGGAGCTTCTCTCGGCTTTTCACATCTTAGCATAAATTATAATAAAACTGTCAGTAGACCCGCTTTTGCTAAACGTTTTTTAAGTTTAGCTCCAGAGGAGCCAGAGTCAAAGCGAGGATCCAGAGTATTGTCAAACGGTAAGAGCATCTCAATAGATTAGCTAAATCATTTTCTAAAGATAAATTTAGCTATTATTTAAGAAAAAAAATCTCCAACATACTATGTAAATAACTCTCTAAATTTAATAGCTCTTCATCTCACCCCATTCGCTCTCTACTTTTGGATAGCCTATCTCACTAGCCATTCAGTACACAGTTTGTTGGAGTACTCTATTATTTTCTTGTCAAATCTATTCTAAAGAGTAGCTAAATCAGTAAATTTGGCTAATCTCTTGGAGATGCTTTAACAAGGCCTTAGATTGACTAAAATAAGTTGGTCGCATTTTCAACGAGGACTCTAATTAGGACCCCTACTCTACAATTTGAGGTTGGAGAAAAAAACTTAATAATCCAACAAGACTCCAACTTGAGTTCCCACTTTATGGAGCCCCCCTCCCGCCCCATCTCCTACGGAGACGTAGTGTGCTCCTATTATATAGGTTTTTTCTTGTAATTTTTCCTTACGCCAACACCATTCCATACGTCTTTTTTTTGTCCCGACTCTCCATCCTGCACCGCCACCCTACTCCTTCCTACAGTGTCGCCACCTCCAACCCTCAATCTCCGTCTCCATCTAAATGGGTCAAATGTGGAAACAAAAATAGTAAAGGGTTTTCAGTCTATTTTTGTTCATTTTCATCCCTAGTCTAAAACATCATATACGTTTAAATACAAAGGGAGTACGTATTACATTTATCTTCAACACTTTTTTGAACGTTAATGTTGGCAAGCGGACGGGCGTCCGCCTGGACGCTCCGTTGATGGGCCACGACGCCAGCCTAAGACCCCCCCTCCTTCATTTCTAAATAAAAAAATCCGCTCGCCCATACTAGTTCCTATCCGCTCACTTGCTCCTATCCGCTAGCCTGCACCTCCAGCGCTCGGCCGCTGGCCCAGCCAGGCGCGGCGCGAGGCCGCCTTCGAGGGGCGGTGCTCGGCCGCCGGTCTTGCCATGCGCGACGTGCGACCTCCTCCGAGTCACGGTGGTCGGCTGCTGGCCCTACCAGGCGCGGCGTGCGGCGTCTCTCTTCTAGTCCTATGGCCACTGCCTCCGTGCCGCATCGCACGGCCGATGCCTCCCTTCCACGTCGTGCAGCCGGCGTCGTCGGGCTGCTTGCTCCGGTGAACTCTACACGCCGACGAGCCTGCATTCTCCCAAACGGCAAGGAGATGTTGCGCTGAAAGCTCATGTGAAAAGCGTACGTTTCAATTGTTTTAGATGTTTTAGAGGTATGTTACGAGTGGTTCATATGGATGTTGCAAAAGTAGATCAGGTTGTTGCACATGTTGCAGTGGTTGTACACTTATGTTGCAAGTATCTGTTCCAAATGTTTCATCTGTTTTTTAACATGCGTTGAAAGTGTATTTCTTTTTGGATGTTGCATATGTTTCACATATATATTGCAAGTGTTTAATTTCGATGTTGCATATGTTTTGCAATGACTTTTTCAAGTGTTTTCATGTGTTTTTATGCAAGTGTTTTAGAAGCATGTGTTTCATCTGTCTTCAGACGTATGTTGCAAACGTTTCATCTGAATGTTTTAAAAGTAGATCGGATGTTGCTGCTGGGACTCACCTACCGCAGCCGCCACTGCAGGGCGCCGCCAAGCGGACGCAGACATTCAGGCAGGGGGATGCGGAGGGGCGCGAGCGGTTCCTGCGTGGGGTCAGGCGGCGCGAGCGACGTTCGAGCAGCGCGGGCCGTCGTGGGTGCACAAAATGAAGTGCAGGTGCGTGCGTCCGCATCCATGCGGACGTCCGGGCGCTGGCACTGCTTTTTTTTTAGATCTACTATTCTACAACACTTTGAATCGTCTCAGTTTTGTTTCCATATAGAGATGAATTTCTAGGTGTTTCATGGAGATAGAGACAGACATGGACTTGACGCGCTGGATCAGGATGTACGTGTAAACCTTACCGATCTCTTGCCGCGCGCCTGAGTTGTTAATTACGACCACCAGCCTGGCAACTTCCACGACCGCCGAGCTCAAGCTGGCGACGACAACGACGACGACGACTACATCACCGAGGGTGCAGCGATGGCTGACGATCCCGTGGACATAGTCACCGATGAGGTCGACAAGATCAGCGGGCTCCCGGACGATGTCCTGCTTGACATCTTGGGCAGGCTGGCCATGGCCGGCGACGTCCGCACCGTCGCGAGGACCTCCATCCTCTCGCGGCGGTGGAGGTCCCTGCCGTGGCCGCAGATTCCCACCGTCTCCCTCGACGTCGGAGAGTTCTTCCGCTCGGACGACGACGAGTGGCGAGTCTGGCGGCGGAGCCGCCGGCAGCACCGCTTCGTGGAGCAGCACCAGGCCACGGCGGGGCTCACCGACGCCCTGGCGCGCTTCCTGGCCGCCCCGCCGAGCGCGCGCGTCATCGAGACGCTGAGCCTCAAGCTCATCCTGACCCGGCGCGACTACGTGAGCCGCGTCGGCGAGCTCGTCGGCGCCGCGGCCGACGCCGGCGCGGTAAAGACCGTCGAGCTCGAGCTCGTCACCGAGATGGAGATGGCGATGGCGATGGCGAGCGTCGCGTTCGACCCGGATGCGCTGACCAAGCTCGGCTACGGCGAGCGCTTCAGGCACTTCCTGCAGGACTGCCCCGGCGCGTTCCGGTCACTGACGAAGCTCAACCTCCAGAACCTGTGGTTCGACGACCCGGCCGAGGTGAACAACCTGGTGCGCGGCTGCCACGCTCTCCAGCGCCTCTCCCTGTCGTCCTGCGTCCTGTGTCCTAAGGCCTTGCTGCTGGCCATGGACGACGACGACGACGACGACGGGCCGCCCCGGCTCCCCATGCTGACCATCGACGCGCCGCAGTCGCGGCTCCAGACTCTGGTGTGCGAGCACTGCATCATGGGCGGCGTCGAGCTGGTGCAGGCGCCGGAGCTCGTCACGCTCGAGTACAACGCCGGAGGTCTCTTCCTCCAAGATTATCACCCGGTCTCGATTGGTTGCGCCCCGTCGCTCCAACGCTTGGGCCTATATCAGTACCAGCACGAGGACAGCTTTTTTTAAGCTCAAGTTGAGTGAGCTTCTGGTCAAAAGCAAATTGGAGTTGCTCCACTTGGCGTTTCACGATGGAAAGGTACGGTAACAAATTGAAGCACGAATTAATTTGAACTTGGGTGTGAAACTGACCAAGTTTTTTTTTATCGCTTGTTGTTGTTGGCGTCTGAAGGGCGGGCCTGGTGCAAGCGGTAGAGTCTTACCGTCTATGACCGGAAGGTCCCAGGTTCGAGTCGTGATCTCCTCGCATTGCACAGGCGAGGGTAAGGCTTACCACTAACACCCTTATCCAGACCGAGCGGGAGCTCTCTGCACTGGTACGCCCTTTGTTGTTGGCGTCTGCTGCAGATATGGGTTCAACCAGAACGTCCTAGTAAGCAACTCAGAGCTGCACTGGGCGGCCTAAAGGGTCAGCATCTGTCGAATATCTATCCTGAGTGCAATTATCTCTCATGGACAACGTTCCTGCTGGAAGCTGCACCGCTGCTGGAGGCTCTTGAAATCCATGTGCGTATGCATATGCATGCTAAACTCCTGATTACTAGTTTGCTACTAATGCCTTAGTGTGTCTATATATATAGATAGAGAGAGAGAATAATTTGCATCTTTTATGTTGTCCATGGTGTGCAGATATGTAGCCACATATGTCAGCCCAGGAAGAAACGAGGCAAAGACGCGAACCTGGCATGGGAGCCATCTCCAGGGTTCAGGCACCATCACCTGAAGCAGCTCTGCTTCCACCGCGCCTTCCATGCAGAGAAGGACCTGCCGTTTGCGAGGCGACTCATGTTGCTGGCACCGAACCTGCAGGGCGTCACCTTTGGGCGTCAGGTCTCTCGAGTGTCCTGCATGCCTGGCCGCCCAGCGTAAGCATCCGGACTTGGCGGCATCGAGACTGAGGTTCGCGGAAGGCAGCAAGCATGTTGATGCGTTCGTCAGGGCGCTCAAGGATGGCATCCCTACATCAGCCCAGATAACGTTAGTTTTGTCTGAACTAGTTTGATGTAATTAGCTACTGCAAACCGGTTTTATCTTGAAAGATCATCTTTACCGTTTGGTTTCAGGCAGCTATTGTCTAGCTGCAATCTGCTTGTAATATATATCTAGTTGCAACTCTGCTTTCAGGCAGCCACTACCTGCATTTGTTTGGTTTACATATTTAAATTCAATTTATGCATTAATTGTCAACGGAACTTGTACACCACACTTCAATATATATATAGTAGATAGAATACATATAATATATATATTTACAATAGCCTAAGGCTTTGCTTGGTACTTCTCACAAATCGGAGTTCATACACAGGCAGGTAACCTTTGTTGGAATTGGAATTTAATGCTACTATATGGAACTAGTATAATAAGGTTGCCTGATGGCTGGGTTAGCATGATGTGCAATTCAGATGAATCTAACTTCCACATGCTAAGCACTCATCCCGGTTGTTCAAGGAACAGGCCACTTGTGCCATTTTAACCTGGGCATCCTCTTCTTCTGAAGTCGGCTGCTTATCCTGCAAATGCATTTTTCATGATAAGGATCGTGCTAAGGACAGGTTGACAATTAATCAAAAATATATAATCCATCAGACAAGGGAGCACAATCTCCAAACGTGATCACCTTGAGAAGAGTAGTATCAACTGTAAACTTGATTGCATCAGCAGCAGCTCGAGTTCTTAAGTAATACATCCCTGTTTTCAGGCCCTGGTATCCAACAACAGAAGAAATAATTATCAGCGTTTTCCTTGGCCACTCGAACTCAAATAAACTAAAAAAGTCACTCCTGTCTCAGAACAAAAAAAGATGAAGATCAAATAGTGTTGGATTAAGAGTTACCTTTGACCAAGCATGGAAGTGCAATGAAGTTAGCTTCCCAGAGTTTGGTTGTTCCATGTGGATATTAAGGCTCTGGCTCTGATCGATATAGCAACCACGGTCAATGGCCATGTCAACAACAGTTTTCTGCTTGATCTCCCAAACAGTCCTGTGTAATGATTAATTAACGAACAGCTGGAACAAACATGACTGATAGTTTGAATATCGTGGAACTCATAGCTAAGATGCACATACTTGTAAATTGCTTTTAGATCATCTGGAACTTCGGTAATTTTTTGGACAGAACCATCCTCATAGATAATCTTGTTCTTTAGAACAGGAGACCAGACACCCATCTCACTCAAATCATGGAGAAGATGCTTATTTACTACAACAAATTCACCACTGAAAAAAGAAAATTAATTAGGGAACACCACATGTTAGAACATCAAAACTAAAATAAGCAAATATGCTAACCTTAAAACTCGTCGACTGTATATATTTGAGGTGTATGGTTCAAAGCACTCATTGTTGCCAAGAATTTGACTAGTGGAAGCAGTTGGCATAGGAGCAACAAGAAGAGAGTTCCTCAATCCCACCTGAGAAATCATCTCCCTTATTGCTGACCAGTTCCACTTACCAGATGGCACTACATTCCACATATCAGGTTGAAGAATGCCCTGCAGAAGTAAAGAGGTCTACTGAGAACAGGCCATTCCTAAATATATCAACTAGACCATTCAGGTTAATAATTTCTTCCCTAAATGAGAACAGTTTCAAGGAGCATAAGGATGATGATATACAGCCTAATAAGCAAGTGACAAACCAAAAATAAATGGATATCATAATCATCATTATTTCCTGACCAATGAGCACTCATAAATTTTGGAAATTTCTACCAGCAACTGTTTGTGAGAAGAAAATAGCTCAACACAATCGAACATGATATTCAATATAAACATTGGACATTCTTAGAAACAATATCATGGACGAACCTTGCTGGCAGGGCTCCCGGCATATGTTTCATAAGGACCTTCTTTTGCAGCAAGTTCAGCAGAAGCTTTCAACGAGTGATAATAAATGGTTTCAAAAATATCTTTATTTAACTGCTGGGCCTGGAACAAAATTTCATTATATTACATATCAGTCTATCAGTAAAGTACAACGTGGCATAACCATACTTTCCAGCTTGCAAAATGTACCTCTGGTGAATCAAATGGCACTCCAAGTAGAATAAAAGTATCCGCCAAGCCTTGAACACCTATCCCAATTGGCCTATGCCTCATATTTGACCTCCTTGCATTCTCAATGGGATAATAGCTAATATCAATGATTTTGTTCAGATTACATGTAACAATCGAAGTAATCTGCCATAGCCAACATTATGTTAAGTATTATTCAGACTGGTAAGGCAGAGTATCTATATGAAATGTAAGATAGACAAACCTCAGCTAATTTATCAAAGTCAAAGTATCTATTTTTTGATCCTCTGCTACCAACAAGCCTAGCTGGATGGGACTCTATAGGAACACCCTGAAAGTGAAACATGTGCAAAGTGTAAGGTACGCTAGTTACAACTAACCAAAATTGTTGAAAAAAATTTGGCATGTACCTTTTCCCTCACAAAACGTGGTAAAGCAATTGACGCTAGATTGCACACAGCAGTTTCATCAGGACTTGTATACTCAATTATCTCAGTACACAAGTTAGAGGACTTAATTGTGCCAAGATTTTGCTGGTTACTTTTTCTGTTGCAAGCATCCTGCACATCATCACATTTTAGAACCAGACCTTTGGATGTTTCAGTAAGAACAGGCACATAAAAGAATGGCCTATTTAGAGGGAAAATGCAAAATAATTGCATCCTTATGAAATAATTAAATAAATACCTTGTAAAGCATATATGGTGTTCCGGTTTCTATCTGTGCCTTCAAAATATCAAACCAGAGGGCCTGCGCTGCAACCACTTTCTTTGCCTTGCCCTGAAATCACATAGCTGAGTCATCAAACATATCAAGACGAATTTTTTTTTTGTATATCCAGGTGCAGCATCCAGCTTACTTCTCTTTCATATTTACGGTAGAGATTCTGAAACTCATCACCCCAGCAATCAGACAACCCAGGAGCTTCATTGGGGCAAAATAGTGACCACTGTTCATTACGTTGTACCCTTTCCATGAATAGATCAGGAACCCACAGAGCATAGAAAAGATCCCTTGCACGATTCTCTTCCTACAAATTGCATACAACAAGAAACTTTTCACCGATGGGGTAGTCGAATATAATAGCATGCCAAACATTCAAAGCGCATTCCTTATACAGTACAGTATGAAGATAATAATCAAATGCCAAAAAGTTTTCAATCACAGCTGACTATTTTTCAAGAATGTGTGTTATTGTTCAAGAAAACTTTTACCTTTCCATGGTTCTTTCTTAGATCAAGGAACTCAAAGATATCAGGATGCCAAGGCTCCAAATAAACAGCAAATGCACCTAAATGTAAGGCACCTGTCAGAAATCCTCGACAATCCTGTAAATAGGGTCCAGTCTAACTTATCGATGCTACTTACCTTTTCTCTTGCCTCCACCTCGATCAACATAACGGGCAGTATCATTGAAAACACGTAGCATAGGAACAATTCCATTAGAAGTTCCATTTGTTCCTCGAATGTAACTCCCAGTAGCTCGAATATTGTGAATTGAGACACCAATTCCTCCAGCAGATTTGCTTATTGCAGCACATTCTGAGAGAGTATCATAAATTCCCTCAATACTATCATCTTTCATGCAGATAAGGAAGCAGCTACTTAGCTGCATAACAATACATAGAAGAATGTGGTTAAAGGTACAGTTTAACAGTTAACACTGCACAATGAATGTTATTTTCGTAGAAAGTAGCAGTACTTGCGGCCTTGGAGTGCCAGCGTTGAAAAGGGTTGGGGAAGCATGAGTAAACCAGCGCTGAGACATCATGTGATATGTTTTGATAGCAGATTCAATATCATCCTTATGTATGCCAACAGAAACTCTCATCAACATATGTTGCGGCCTTTCCGCGATCTTTCCACCAACTTTCAACAGATAGGACCTCTGAAGAGTCTTAAAACCAAAATAATCATAGTCGAAATCTCGGTCAAAATTTATCTCATACTCCAAGCGAGCAGTATTCTGAAATGATGCAGAATTCAAAGTTGAGTACTCTGTATGCGAGTTAGTAAGAAATAGAGTAAGTACACATATGTGCCAACGTAAATGATAGCTGCCAATAATTTCAAAGTCTCTTTCATGGCCTGTTTATAGCATGAAACTACCAAAGAACCATATTGGATGCTAAATACTACACCCTTGTAACAACCAATGGCAGAAACCAGAAACCAGAAAGTAGAATCACACAAGCTATATAAACGCCAAAAAGCATAACTCATGTTTTCCTAAAAGACACTGCTACTTAGGCTGTCAGGCACTTAGCCTGTGCATCACACCTTCATAATAATCGTGAAGACATCATCAGCAATCAGGGGAGCCATCAAACCAGACTTCTCATCGTAATGGGTATAGAGAGCCTTTACCCTGCCATACAGAGGTCAAGAGAACCAAATTACACAACGGATAGTCAAACTCTCCTCCTGGAGAAGAAAAAACAACACACCACGTACGTCGCTGAAAAGGATGTCATGGTGTTCTTGTGCAGATTGGAGACCGCAATCCTCGCCGCTAGCTTCACAGCATGGGAAAAACAGAACGCCAAAATCAGTCAATAACTGTGCAGTCGAGTCGCTCAAGCAGCAGACCAAAACATCCCGCAGACGGATCAATTATTTTGGGGACCTGCGGGGGTGGGGGTAAGCAGAGCAGTCACCGATGCGTAGTCGGGGTGCGAGGCGGTCATGGCAGCGGCGGTCTCGGCGGCGAGCTCACCGATCTCGCCGGTGGTGATGCCCTTGTAGACGCCGGCGCAGACCTTCTGGGCGACAAGGACGGGGTCGCAGTGCTCCTGGCTGAGGCCGTAGCTGAGCCTCGTGAGCCGCGCGGTGATCTTGTCGAAGTGGACCGGCTCTTGCCGGCCGTCGCGCTTCACCACGTACATCTTGCGTCGCCGCCGCCGGGCCTCTCGGGCTTACCGTCGAACACACCGGGGGCGCCCGACCGAACGCCGGCGGCGGTGATGGCCTCGGGATCGTTAAGGGTTGGGGAGGGCAACGGAGAAAGGGGCAGCGAGAGGTTTAAATGCTTCGAGAAATCGGTGATCGCGACGTGATTAGATGACAAGGACGTTTTGATTTTGAAATGATGTATGGGAGAAAGTAGAACCGCCCTGAACCGCGGGAGAGGGAAAATTTCTCCCGCGCGTTTCGAGCGAAATTGGGCAGCGTTGGCGCCTTTGTGGGTGGGGGATGACGCGTACATATCGTACGAGGAATAAATTTCTAATAAAATTTATGTCGCAGTTCGAATTTCATTTTTTGATGATATATAGCATATCTTTAATTGATCGAAGAATACAGCGTAATTGAATAGAATTAGATACTCAGCTTTGAACCTTCAGCAAAATGTAATAGTCTGAGCTGAGATCATAGAGCCGAACTGATCCAGAAGAGCTCAAGAGCATTGATACACGACACACACACACACACACACACACACACACACACACACAGAATACAATACAATCTTACAATTATAGTGAAAAAAATTGGGATACTTCTTTTGAGATCAAAATAGGGAATGATTTTAGCTGATGAGTGATGACCAAGCACTGTTACAAATCTCAAACAGGGAAGGCCAGCAGTTTGGTTTAAGACTTTAGACTGGGTTATAGCCATTGGCCGCACAGGAGTATCATGAGTCATGACTGCTGTCTGCTGATGTGGGATGAGCTGATGAACATTTCTTCTGACTGCTGCCATCTGATTTGCCGATAACAATGTGGCGATGCCACAGGCTAGTTATGATGAGTCACTTGTAGGTCGAGCTTGTCCAGGTCTCATGATCGCATCATCAGGGCATCCGTTGAATGATACAGTGTCCTCTCTGCTGGAGGTATTGATGGTGTGTTAGAACTGTATATCCAATGCTGGAGCCTCTTGCTGATTGCCTTGCATTGGCTGAGGCTGCTTGCTGACGAGTTGCTGAGGTATAACCCTTGGATGGCCATGATCAATGCTAGCTCAGCGCTCCACCCTGCATTAAGACGGTATATGTTCCTATCTGGGACAACAAGATATAGTTTCAGCAGGAATGTGCAGTAACAGGTTCATGCAATGTACTCATATAGGATCCAAGAAGTATGGTAGGTAATACAAGATTACAGAATGCAAGAGATGATCATCAATAGACATTGCAATCAAATGATGACAAATAGGTATTTCTGACAACTGATTATTGATTAGCCACTGAACTTGAGGACCCAAGCCTATCTTTTTCAGAGTCTATATGATGCTAAGGTCAGATTCAGTAGTCCATTGGTTTCCATGTTGCAGCTTTCCTAAATCCCATGTAAGCAGAGAAACAAAACATACTGCAGTGATAAACGGAAAAAAGGGAAATAATATTTCTGCACCACAATTAAGTATAATTTATTCTTGATAATTATAAAGAAGATGACACTATGACAGAATCAAGGTTTTGCTACTAAAAAGGGAATTAAACATACCCTAAAATCAAGCTCTTCCGATTTCCCGAAAGTATCTGTGATTCACATCACTCCTTGCAACAATTGCACCGCATGAACTTATAGCAAGCACAGTACATTGAACCAGGACTAGTACTCTGGTGGACCATAATTGAGCTAAGCAGGGTCAGGCATTATGGTTTCCAGCCTGTTCGGCTGAGGCTTATACGATCGTATACGATCATGGATTATTACTGCTGGCTGGTTTGGTGCGAGAGAAAAATACTGTTCTGGCTTATAATCCACGATCGTTTACGACCAAGCGAACAGGCTGCCCTCCAATGAAAAACTGTAATGCAAAGGACTTCTGCAGTGCATATTTTGCTTTGCTTATCATATCCTGCCCTCATCTGCAATAAAGAAAATGATGGTTTCTCAAATGATGAATTGAAGCTTACAAAATATAAACATGGAAAATAGTACTATGCCGCCAAACTTTTCAACAAAACTTTTCAACATCTGGTGTTTCTACTGATGTTCTACAACTACAAGAATAATCCAAATGGGAAATATGCATTCAGTCCTGATTACTGTAATTTTTGAACGATGCACCCAAATAGCAAAGCAAAGTTTCAACAGCACCCACATGAAAACCAAAAGGCAATTGTTGTTTCCTGTGAAATTCCTACTGTACAAACAGGCAGCAATGCTTCAGACCTGTTTGTGCATTGTTTCAAAATAAACCAAACTTCACATGCATAAATAGTTTGAAATGAAAAAAAAAAGTTTGATGGAAACTGACAAACAAATGTTTCCCAAAAAATATCAATTAAGACAGACAAACTAGGCTCCTCAGATGTCTCTTCATCTCCACACAATGAACAGCACCTCGCTGCTTTCAGGAATTGGAACGATATAGGAGGTCAATTTCAATCATCACAGGAGTACTCAACCTTAATTAAGCAGAAACAGTGCAGCAACGAAGCAGCTGACAAACAAGAGTAACCCAAACATTAATCTATTGAAGAAAGGAACTTGGCTCCTCAGATGTCTCTTCATCTCCACATAGTGTGCAGCGTCTCACAGGAGCTGCTTTCAGGAATTGGAACGAAATTGGAAGTAAATTTGGTCATCACTGGAGCATCCAACTTTAAAGAAGTAGATCTGGCACGGCCGTTTGCGTGAACAAGAACCAGATTATACAGCCCGAGCTTCAAAGAAAACACTCAGATTCTGAACGCGCTCAAGTGAGAAATCCTACTCATTAAGCCACTGACCGCAAAGCATAAATCACCAAAACCAGCCCGAGCTTCAAAGAAAACACTCAGATTCTGAACGCGCTCAAGTGAGAAATCCTACTCATTAAGCCACTGACCGCAAAGCATAAATCACCAAACGAAATGCCCAGTAAGCTATTGGGTAACGAATCGTTGAAACAGTAACACTGAAGCCATTTAGATTCCAGGTGAGAGCTAGGGTGGGCATGCAACAAGATGGTTACGGAAAGAGAAGGTTGGAGACGACGTGTCACGTGGTACCATTCATATTTCGGGCGAAGGGGTTGCAGCCGAAACAGGACTACAGGAGCCGAAGACGCTGTGGGCGCCTAGCCGCCTACGCTCACACTCGGGGGCCGCGGCAGCCGGTGCACCGTGCACCACCACAACTGCCGCCGCCCGCCGCCGCAAACGAGAAAGAGGCGAGGGACTTGCGAGGTGAGGTCTCGAGAGAGAGGCAACACGGAGACAGGACCAAAGGCCGAAGGCGTTGGGCTCTTGGGCTTTAAAGAAGCGAATGGCGACAGATGGGCCTTGCCCCTGGCTATGGCCCATGAGCATGAATAAGAAAAGAGTTCATTTTAATAAACTCCCTAGGCCCTGTTCGGTTATCCGGGAATGATAGCCTGGAAAAAATCCGGTGGAACCGCTACCTTAATTTTGTATAAGCAGGTAAATCTGGAATGATTCCTAACCCTGGAATCAGCTAACCGAACGGGGCCTAATTAGGAAAAGAATCCATTTTAGCTTCTAACTATAGGTCTATCCCTAAGTTTCTTCCTCAAAAATTTGAAACCAGAAATCTTATCCCGTAAACTCTCTTCAAATTACCTTTCTGTCTTGACTTAAAATGATTTTAAAGACAGTTTCACCATTTTATATAGTTAATATAAAAATCTCGTAAATATTTGATAAGATTTTTAAATCGCATAAAGATGTCTTCAAGCTTGTAAAAAATTGAAGAAAAATTATGTATCCACTAGTTTGATATTTTTCTCTTGGAAGGCAAGATCGAAGCCATCGCAAACTTGCAGGTGGTCTTTTGCAAGTTTGGAAGCTCATCGCATGACGCCTAAATCGAGTCTTGACCACCGAGAATAACAAATGTTTAACGAGATTCTTGACTTGTCACAAGTGCTTGAGACTTTAATCTGCTCTCTTTCACTCTTTGACTCGATTTCTCTAAATCAAACACTAGGATTTAAACTTGAATGGTACAATCTCACAAAGAGATGTCCCCGGGAGAAAGGTTTCACAAGGCTTAGATATGTCTAATCTCACTAGGATTCACATCCCTCAAAAGGATAGGTCTAGGGGACATAGATACCACCATCACATGAAAACTAGTTATTATACTATGAGAATCAAAAGAGAGTCATTCAATTTTGATACCTACTAGCCGTTTGACCAGGAACAGATTTACATGTTCGAAACTTTCAGAGTACAACAATGCAGTGTGGATAGTTGAAAAACGTTATAATCTTAGTTTGTTTTGATTTTATGAAACCGGACACTTTGGAGATCTGCCAAAATTGGGTGGTCAGGTATGCAATATCGGAACATCAGCATTGCAATAATCAGCTCATGAAGTTAGAAACCCATGGAGACGACACTCAAATCTCGTTTAGATTTTCCGGAGCAATAGAGACTTGTCAATACACTACATCTCCCCCTCGACATGACGTACCTGTCACCTTAAGGATAAAGAGTGAATCGACATTCAACCACTTGAGTTTTGTGTCTTCACATATGCTATTTCTTCTCATTTTTTCTTCTCGAGGGTTGCAATCTTGTTGTCTTAACAAAACCATCTTGGGCATGTGACCTGAACCGACTCAACCAATATGATTTAACTAGTGGCTTCAAGTCACTTCATATGATTCAACGATGATTTAATCCTCTGCAAAATATGACTCCTTGTAACTCGATTTGTTCACCAACTTAATGTAACTACTCTCTTATTCACCTTTGCCATGTTACCTCGATCGCCAAGTAGTCACATGCCCTTCACTTTCGCTTGGTCCTTTGAAACGCTCTCCTTGCTACTTTCACCCTATCGAGCCCTTCTCGTTTTGTTTTCAAATCAATATTAAGCATTCTTTGTAAAACATTATCGGTATTGATATCTAACTTGATTTCTATCCATTTGCTTTGACAATACTCCATATATACATGTATGCCACATGTTTGCACAAGGTC